TCGCGAGCGAGTGCATTCGAGGGCGTCAGATGCCTGGTTCGTGTGCGCGTTCCCTGTCACGGCGAGTAATTGACTATATAATGGATTCCCGCGACTGCGATACGTCAAACTGACAGGTCCAGGGGCGTGCGTCGAGGGTTCCGAGCAGATCCTTCGATATTAAAGCCAACCCCCCTCGGCCTGACCCTTCGGGGCTAATTCGTGACGATTTTATAAAGCCGACGATCTCCTCTTCTCGCTCTCAGCGAACCAGACGGACAGAGAGAACAAACGAACGCAACGGGACACGAATTTTCTCTTCATCTCCCTCTTTTTCGAATTAGCATAAGATTCGTTCGTCGTCGACGAGGGTGATCGAACGGAATGGGAAAAATTGCATCTACTATGCAATCGGTGATTTCGGCCAGGAGTTCGATCGAGGCTCGTTGAAACGAGCCGAACGTAGCGACGTGCCGGACCGTCTGCTTCACGATCATTGCCCGGCTACGCCCCTTACGCGCCGACTCGAAATAGCACCGGGATATCGCTCGGTGTATCTTTGGACCAGACTCCATTCACACTCCCGAACAGCGTGCAACTCGGCTGCATCTTGCCAAGTTTTCTTCTTGTTGCGCCGCGCCGGGCCGCTCGTTTTATTCGCCTGACCTGTCTGTCTACGTCGTCCTCGGTTCCGACACGTCAGGGCTAAATTGCGTTTCCAAACGTTCCCGTCTCGAGAATCGACAGACCTCTCGTCGAGGAAAGTCAGAAAAGAAGCTAGAGAGTAGAGTCGGCCGAAAAGTCGAAGCTCGGAGAATGCACGTGAGCGAACAACCCTCCTCGTTACAGCGTGACGCGCCGCGCCGCGCCGCGCCGCGCCGTCTCGTCAGGGGCGACGGTCATTGGTGCGTTCAGCCCTTTCGACACGCGACACTGACGACACGCCGAGTTAACTCGAAATATTACGACGCCGCTTAGGCTGATTATGGATGGATGGCTATCGATGGACACGAGTCCTCGTCGCCGACACCCCACAGCGAGACAACCAGTAAATTCCCTTCCCGACCAGTTTCCAATATACCGATTCTCTCTTCGACGAATAGCGCTGGTAACGAACAGGTATCCTTCGCATCGGTGCCTTTTGCGTCAGGAAAAATCGACGGTTATGTTTCTTTCGATAAACTTACAGTTCAGAGTTTTTATTTCACGATAGTCGTAAAGGAATTTTGCGATCAGAAGTTGATCCCGCGATCGTAAAACCGGACTAGCTGAATATTGCTTCTCGTTTCTCCAGCCCCAAAAAGGAGCACGACCATTTGTCCAATTCCGGACGCAAGATTCCCCCAACGAATAATTCAGAAATAAATTCGCACCCTACCGTTCCCTCCCTATTCTCGCCTCGGCGCTGTACCGAGCGAGAGAAAAAATCTCGGGCAACGCCTCAGAGTCGTGGAAACGTTCCTTAAATGGTGTTTCTACCCACTTTCCTCAGTCGAGGCGTCGTTGTATCGGGACGAGGGTGACCGAATAAACGGCTACGTAAAGTTTGCGATTGGTGCGCGGCGTAACCACCCTTATATCGTGCCAAGGGTGGTCAGCTCGTTTGCACCCACGTACGCGCACTTGTTCAAACCCACCCTCCTTCGACTACGTGCCAAAGCTCTACCGTTCGTTTCTACCAAATAAAACGGAAAAAGACCGATTCGTTTCCGTATCTTCCGTTGCGACGTTGTTAAGAAAATTTTCTTTCTTCGAAAAGCATGCAAAAGGGCTGTACAATTCGAGGTTGAAAAGAAGTTTGCGAAATCGAGGAAAGTGCAGCGATCGATCGAAGCTCGCTGTTCCCAACTTTCCCTCGAGTTAATTTAACTTTCGCGATTCCGTTAGTCGCGTTATTCGCGGCTCGACGCGGCGCGTGTTCGTCTGAAACAGCCGGTAGAATGTGATGCACGTAGCACGAGGAAGAAGCTACGTGCGCCCGGTTGCAAGCAACCCCAACGGCGAGGGGTGGTCGGCCAGGAGAGCTCAATATATATTAAGATCCGCAAACCCCTCTGCTAGACTGAAAGTTCGTCCACCCTACGCAACCCCCTAAGTCTTCCCACCGAGTCTCTGCAACCCTCCTATCTCTATCTCCCTCTCTCTCTCTCTATATTCCTCCGTCCTTTTTCCACCCCATGCCCGCGAAGCTACACCATCGGAATTGCGATTATGGTGGCAATATTACGTTGAACGAGGGAGAGAGTAACTGTTTCGTTGTCGGAGCACACATAGCTTACATAGCCACGGGACAAGGAGAAGAACAAGAGACGAAGGAAGCTTCTCTCGTTTCATCATCTTCTTCTTCTTGTACCGTTCCTTCTCTCCGTTCATAGGACTCCGTTTCCCCGACATTCCTTTTCCTCGCAAAGCTTATTGGCTTTATTTCGAAAGCAGATCCAAGAGAGAATAGAGGAAACTAGCCTAGCTATCGTGGCCGGAAGTGTTCGTACCCTTTGACGAATTCGTTCGCGTAATAAATTTCTATCGGGTTAAATTGATTATTCGTCGGAGAACGAGAACGAGAGATTTTTTTTTTTTTTCTTCTTTATTCTAGTCGATTTTCTGTCGGGTCAACCGTATTGTGGTAGGTGAATTTTTGATCCATATAATCGGGAATGGAGGCGATACGATTGAAAAGGGGGTATGTCGAGGAGGAGCAGTAGCAGCAGGCGCGTCGACAGCCATCGAAAACGCTCGGGTTCGACATAATTTCCGGGAGAACTAATAATCATCGATCGACGCGGTAGCAGGATATTTTTGCCGTGGTCGTGGACAGAGAGCCGTGGCACGGGAACGAATACACACGGCTATTACACACGGAGCAATTAAAAGCGTCGAGTGGAAATATTTTTTCGCGGCCGCGTTTCGACTGAATTCGCGACGCGACGCATTTGCCTCTCGATTAACCCGGATCGCGATCATTCCCGGATGGAACGTTTTATTATCCGTGCGATTTCGAAGACGGGATCGATTCGAGTCGACGTGGCTGATAGATTCGCGTCGGGTCGCGTTGACCGATCGATCGTGATTAATCGAGATAAACACAAGGCGAAATGCATCGGAATAAAAAAAGGAAAGCCCTCGACACGAAGAGGCGGTATTAAACTCGCATGCGGCACGCTAACGAAGTCGAGGCGCGAAACGCGTCAAGTGGCGTAATTAATTTCATTTAAAATCTCGCTATCGCGCAAACGGGGTGAAAGTAACTCGAACCTCGATACACATCTTTCCTTCTCTCCCCTTTACCTTCGTTTATCCACCAGCGACGAGTCATTTTCACGGCAGAGAATCGCGCCGCTGGGAAATCCGGCACGCCGAAAAATTGACGCGGTGCGTTAAAAGAGAACGTCCCGGCGGGATTCAATTAAATTCCGCGGCGTTAACGACTCTACGTGCTCTGTCTTTTTTTCCCTTTCCTCGAAAGTTTCTGGCGAAAGAATGGAAGCGAAAACGGCGAAGAGAAAGCGGCGTGCCGGTACGATGAAGTAGGGTAGGAGAAGAGCAAAGCGGGGGTGGAATTTACCGTCCTAACGCAATTTCCCAGGCGATAAAGCTGCCGCGTAGGCGTCGAAATAACATCTCTAGGAATTTTCTTCCTTCCTCTAATAGTGTTTGCGCCGCCACGACGATATTAACGCACGCCTTCTGTCCCTTGAAAAGCCGAGGGGATCGCCGCGTCGCTCGACCGTACGCTGCTCGAAGACTCATTTCGCGCGTAATTGCAATTGGCTTACGATTCTCGTACGCGTTCGTTAACTTTGCCCGACGACGAGCTGGCCGACTGGTTGGCGTCGATTTTTCTGATCGCTCGACGTTGACGAGTTCTTCTTCCTCCTCTTCTCTCCATTTACCGAAACGAAAACGTTTTTTCCTCTTTCCGCTCGGCCGTCATCTTTCCCCGTAATAATCTCTTTGTGCTACCGAGTAACCGTACGGCTGAATTTATTGCGGCCTCCCTGCCGGAAACACGTCCGCAAGGAAATCTTCTGGCCGAGTAAGAAGCCCGGGTCTTCTCGATCTGCCCGTTTTTTTGCCCCTTCTTACCTACCTAGTCCTTCCTCCGCCAGTCTCGAAAGAGAAGGAGGATAGCCGGGAACGAGAGAAGTCTGTCGACGAAGAGGAAGAGAAGGAGGTTGACGACGAGGAGGACGACGAGGACGAGGAGGACGTCGAGGACGGGTCCTTCTTGCTCGGTCGGAACTTTTTGCGGTCTCTCTCGGGACGAGCCCAAGCCGAGGGGGGCAATAAAACTAATGGTAACGCGCGCCGGTAATTCCTTGCGGTCTGTTTGTCGCAAGTCGACGACCTGGCCTCTCCGCCTCGTCATTTGCCCAGGGAGGATACCGCGTCCAACGTCGACGGACAAGTGGTTCCTTGGATCGGACATGGACCAGCGTAAACCTCCACCTCTTTCTTTCCTTCCTTCTCTTTCGGCCTTCTTCTATTCCCCTCGCCCCGTTCGCGTTCTAGCGACGGGAACCGATAGAATAATGGAATAATATCCGGCTAAAATAAATCTGTTTGGCAAACCCCCTGAATTCTTTGTCTCGTCTGGCCTCGGATTCTTTAGAAAGCTCGAAACCCAGAGCCCGGTAATCCGTCTTCGTTGTTTCTGTAAATATCATCAAGGCAGGCTGAAATCAATAGGAAGACCTTGAAGCGTAGAGCGGAAGAACTGCTTGGAAGGAACCCGCGACGCCGGCGACGCCGACGTCGACGTCGACGAGGGGTTCGAGAAAAGCTGATTTCGTAGATGCTGACTCGCTGGAATCTCGCGTAATCCAAACGCAAACAGCGAAAGCTGGTTCGAGGGTGCCGAAAGGAGATTCAAAGGAGAACCGATTTCCTAGCGTTATTTAATCTTCGCGTTTTATCTTATCACGAATTGATTCGAACGTGCGCGTAGGTTAAAAAAAAAAAAAATGGTTGGCGAATGCATCGCAGATAATTAAGAACGTCCCCTGTTGGTTTGATTGCAGTGGGTGGAAGAGTCGTTCACGAACTTCGACAAGGGCATCAATTGGCGGAGTTACGTCGTCTGCGACGTGGCTTACAACAACGTGAACAATTGGTTGTGGACGCCGTTCATCGAGAGGGGACCGGCGAACCGCATGTACATAGAAATCAAATTCACCACCCGCGACTGCTCGTTGTTCCCCGGAAACGCGCTCAGTTGCAAGGAAACTTTCAGTCTCCTTTACTACGAGTTCGACGCGGCCACCAAGGAACCACCGCCATGGGAAACGGACAGTTACAAGTTGATCGGTGAGCTTGCCAAACGTCTTCCTGCTTTTCCATTCGCAGAAACATACTTTTTCTTCTCCCTTTGAACTCGAGACGAATCACCCGTTTGATTCGCAGGTCGCATCGCCGCTGGTGAGGGAAGATTCAACACGAACGCCGAGGTGGTGATCAACACGGAGGTCAAGTCGATCCCGGTGACGAAGAAGGGCGTGTATTTCGCGTTCCGCGATCAAGGTGCATGCATATCCATCTTGGCCATTAAAGTGTACTACATCAGTTGCCCGGAGATTTCCGTCAACTTTGCCCACTTCCCGGCCACCCCGACGGGTCGCGAAGTCGCGCTGATCGAACAAACAATCGGCACCTGCGTCGACAACGCAGAGGTGATCGAGCAACCCACTTACCTTTGCAAAGGCGACGGGAAATGGTACCTATCGAACGGCGGATGCCACTGCAAACCTGGATATCAAGCCGACGTGGAGAAACAAAAATGCACCGCCTGTCCGATCATGAAATTCAAACACGAGGCGGGATCGCACAGCTGCGAACCCTGCCCGGCTTACAGCAAATCGTCCGATTACGGATTCACGGAATGCCGTTGCGACGTTGGTTATTACAGAGCCGACAAGGACCCGAAAAAGATGCCCTGCACGCGTGAGTCATCGAGTAGACGCGTATTTTTCAGATATTTCTTTCTATATATAAATCGTTTCTGTTCTATTTCACAGAACCACCATCGGCACCGCAAAATCTCACGGTGAATTTCGTCGATCAATCTACCGTGATTTTGTCTTGGAACGCGCCTCATATGCTTGGTGGTAGAACGGACACCACTTACAGGGTGGTTTGCGACGCTTGTAGCACGGGTGTAAAATACATTCCGAACACCGTAAGTTCCTTTCCACGGTTTTCCTTTTCACCGAGATTATAAGCGGTAGCTAAATTCTTCGACGTTGTCCGCAGGAGGTCTTCAACGATACGAAGATCACGATAACGGGCCTAAACGCGGTGACCACCTATCGTTTCCAAGTGTTCGCCGAGAACGGAGTGTCGGCATTGGCCGGGAAATCCGAGTACGTGGACATCACGGTCACCACCGAAGCAAGCGTGCCTAGTTTGGTCAGCAACGTCAGGATCACGAGCGTGAAGAGCTCGGAATTGAGCATCAGCTGGGACGCTCCTGTAACCGAAGTTGGCGGGGACAGCGATCTCGTCGAAAGATACGAAGGTGAGGATTCCGCTCGATTGCTACGATATATCTTTTACGATATCCTTTCTTCCTCTTTACGACCACTTATGGACGCTAAGCGCTTGGTGGGTGTAGTCGCTAACCCACTCGGGTTAACTTGTTCGTCCTTAGACAAAGATTTCTTACACACCGACAATGAGTCGAGTATTGGGTCTTCCATACCCGTACGATTGGCCAGTACATGAGTGGAATTTGACCGATCCCGCGCTTCCTGAGTAGTGGTGGCTGCTGGGGTGTGGATTTATTTTTAGCGCAATTTGCGCCCTTTAACACCGCCGGTATAAGCAACGCTCATTTTCGACAATAATCTTTACGACCACTCGTTTCGTTTCGTTTCCTTTCAGTGAGATGTTATCCGCGCTACGACGACGCTACCAACGCCACGGTCATCCAAACGTCGGATTTATCCGCCACTTTTAAAGGGCTGAAACCGTCGACGGATTATGCGATACAAGTGCGAGCGAAAACGACGCGCGGCTGGGGCGAATACACGCCGGTGGTGTATAAAAAGACACCGCACGCTATGGGTCTAGGTAATCGTCAGATTTTCATTCGACACGGTCCTCTTTCAAATTCCTATCGCCTACGATGTTTCAAGGAGATCCTGGGTTATCGTTACAGATTACGTCGGAGAGGATGACAATATGCAAGTAAGAATCATCGCTGGAGCTATCGTAGCCGTGGTTGTTCTTCTGGTGATCATCATCATCATGACCGTGTTGATACTTAGAAGGTAAACGAATCGCTCTTAGCGTTCAATTCGTAGAAGGAATCAATAGCGATATCAGATTTATTAGCAGACTGTGAAACGTTTATTAAAAATTTCATTTCAACCATCTATTTCATTCGATTGATGTGATACAATTTCGATGCAGCAGGGCCTCGGACGAATGCAACAAGAAACAGCCGAGTGACTGCGACACATTGGAGTATAGAAACGGTGAAGGTACGTGTGCCCGATGCCAACAGGCTCGTTTCTTCTTTATTTTTAATTATTTAATTTCTTTATAAATTTATTATCGCTACTACCCCCTGTCACTCTCATAGTTGTCTCACTACGCCCTCGTGTCTTGTGACTAATATTTTGAAATCACCAACCCCGTTAGACCCAGCAAGTATCGACCCCCGCCTTTCTCACGTATACAGTACCCCGTGATAATGTCTTGTCGCTAAACACCCAGTACTTTAGAAGTCTTTTCTCGTTGTCGAAAGAAAGATTATTGAAAATGTGGTTTGTTCAAAGACATTGTAGGACGAAAGAACAAAGAAACGTGGTAAATGAAAGTTATCATTGTCTCGATCGACTCGACCAGGAAACGATTAAGAAAATGAGAGACGATCGTTTTCGATGAAAAATTCAATACCGATCCGGCCCGTAGCCCAACTGCCATTGTTCTAACCGAATTCTTTCGATTCTTTCTTTTCATGTGCGATTCCCCTAATCTATCGAACCTGCCTCCATGAAAAATCCATGAAAAAACCCAATGAAACAATGTACACAATCGCCTGCTACTACAGGACTAGTTGTGACCTACAGTAAGTCTTCTCCAACACCTCAAGTTTTTTTTTTTTTTTCTTTCTAGGAACTCGGTTTTGCGTAGTTACTTTTTGCACCCCCTGTACATGCATCTCTTTGACGCATAGCGTGACAAAAAATTTTCACGCACAAACACGCAACGTCTTTCCACGTCAATCGCGTGTATCTCTCTGTCGAAACAAATATACATATACATACACGCGTTTCAATTAAACATTCACGCGTGCACGATACTACTCGAAAGACATGCGTGTACGTGCTTTATGCTTGCGTCGTTACTGTGTTACCACGTTATATGCATGCCTATTGTTAGATTGTTGTTGTCGTTGGCAGTTTACTTGTTCGATCTTCCCTGTGTCGTTTTACGTTTATTTCATTTTATTTTATTTCATCTATTTTTTTTATCCATACACGAAATGATACCGTTCGCCGAACATCGAGGAAACGAGTCGAACGCGTTTCCTGCGTCGCTCTATATTCATTTTTAAAAATTATTTTCTCTTAACGCTTCGACTCATTAAACTCATCATCGAACACTCACCGTTTCCTTTTTTTGTTTGCTATTTGTCAATTAGCGTGTTGGTTGTTGTGTTGTTCACAGTGCACTGCAAAATGGACAGTTCACCGATTGTGACAACCCACACCAACAACAAGAGCAAGTCCTCGCGTAAGTCCTTAATCAGTCCCAATCAATGAAGCTCGTTCGAAATTATTCGTTCCGGTGGAAGCTGTGCAACGCGTGTATACTACGTTGTCGATCGACCGAACTCTGTACTCGTTCATACTCTCACACGACACATTATCCTGTTTTTTTTTTTCTATTTTCTTTTTCACCACGATCCGTTCTTTCCTCTTTATTTTCTCTCTCTCTTTCTTTCTCACTTTCATTCTATCGTAACAACTAGGTAGACGAAAAGCACGAGAGAAGCATGAAAATTCCTTTCTTCACTTTCAGAGCGTGTGTATCGTTTGCATCGTTTGTTCTCCTGTCTCTTGCATCGTTCTTCTTTTCAGCCAGTCGTCGAAATCTCTTCGATCGTGGAGCCGCGTGAAATAAATTGGATGTTTCGGTGGAAAATCGAATTAACTTGGCTTAGAGAGTACGATACTAGCAGGACGCGACGCGGAGTCGCAGATGCATTTGCGGATGTGAATTAACGGGCGACGAAGTAATTCGATTTGACCGAAGCATCCTCTGCACTGCGCGTACATTATGACTAACGAACGCCATTCAATCTGATGCATCGTAATTGAGATCATTTTACGTATTAGGCATGCGAGAATTTCTACGCTAGCATGATGATTAGTTATACGCGATCTTTTGTTTGTTTATCTCGTTTATTTTAATTTTTTTTTTTCTTTTTCTTTAATTATTAAACGAAGTTACAAATCATTCCATTTTGTTATTTTCTTTTTGTCGTTAGTTTTGAACGTTTTGTTTTTAATATAACAAATAGCCAGAGTAACCCAACGATAGATTTCAACGTTCTTGTTTGAAAGTATTCAAAATTATGAAATAATTGTGTTTTATTGTATTCTATCTTGAACGTGTTCCAAGTCTCTCGTTTAAAGAGGAAGGGTGTGTGAGTGTTTTCACGGGATGAAACGGTTGACAGGCACGGAGCGAAGGAATCACCGTTATTCTAACGCTCCGAGATATTCCGTCAAAATTTAACACACCGGCCCTCGTGTTAATATAATGAACTCTGTTTTGGTGACGTTGCAGTGACCACGCCGCTGTTCACGCCTGCAGTGGGTGTCGCGGCGGCGAGTGCTGGAGGTGCTGGCGGCGGAGGCGCAAGGAGCTACGTCGATCCTCACACCTACGAGGATCCGAATCAAGCTGTGCGTGAGTTTGCTCGAGAGATCGACGCGGGATACATCACGATAGAAGCCATCATAGGTAAACATCCTTTTGGTACACATACTCGCAATCTCTCTATCTGTTCTATCTGTTAGGTCTTAGGCCGTCTCTCGAATTTACACTTCTCCTCGCTTTTCTCTCTCGTTTCATCGTTTTTCCCTTTCCTTGAATATGGTTGATCAACAGGTGGCGGAGAGTTTGGCGACGTTTGTCGTGGAAAATTGAAATTACCGCCCGACGGTCGAACGGAGATCGACGTGGCGATCAAGACGCTGAAACCAGGTTCCGCGGATAAGGCACGCAACGATTTTCTAACCGAGGCCTCGATCATGGGCCAGTTCGAGCACCCGAACGTGATATTCCTGCAAGGTGTCGTGACCAAGAGCAATCCGGTGATGATAATCACGGAATTCATGGAGAACGGTAGCCTGGACACGTTCCTGCGTGCGAACGACGGCAAGTTCCAGGTGCTTCAGCTTGTAGGCATGCTTCGCGGTATCGCGAGCGGTATGCAATATCTAGCTGAAATGAACTACGTGCACCGGGATCTAGCGGCGAGGAACGTGTTGGTGAACGCCACCCTGGTCTGCAAGATCGCCGACTTTGGCCTCAGCAGAGAGATCGAAAGCGCTACCGAGGGAGCGTACACGACCAGGGTAAGTAACCGATTTATCATCGAATTTTTCATTTTCGTCGTTTGATTATTATTTTAACGTACGTTGACGAGACGAGACTCGGTCTCGTCGATCGAACCTAGACTTTCAAATACTTGAATCTTGAAAGAGTGTTTACTCCGGCAAAAAGGGTGGAAAGATCCCGGTACGATGGACAGCTCCGGAAGCGATAGCGTTCCGAAAGTTCACCAGCGCCTCGGACGTTTGGAGCATGGGCATCGTCTGCTGGGAGGTGATGTCTTACGGCGAAAGGCCGTACTGGAACTGGTCTAATCAGGATGTGATAAAGTCGATCGAGAAGGGATACAGGCTTCCGGCGCCGATGGACTGTCCGGAGGCGATCTATCAACTGATGCTCGATTGCTGGCAAAAGGAACGAACTCATCGACCAACCTTCGCTAATCTAACTCAGACGTTGGACAAGCTTATACGAAGCCCGGACACGCTGAGGAAAATCGCGCAGAACAGGTAAACCTTCGTACGCGAAAAGTCTATCCGAGTTCGGGACTCCGCGCGTATCGTTCGCGTGCTACAACCGTTCTTCGAATCGTTCGTGTCCGATACGTTATCGAGATAAGAATTTTCCTCGCGGAACAATTACCGTTAAGGTTTCTGTTCCGATTTAACGTAGTACGAATAGAGGAAACCTACGATGTCGTTGCTTTCATCGTACGAACGATTCGGTGAACGTAGAACACGATAAACGATAAACGATAAACGATAAAGGAAATCATTTGCAGTATTATCACCGAATCGTTCATTCGTTCGTTCGTTCGTTCATCATCTCTCTTAACACGAATCATGTCGCATGCCACGCGAATCACACTTCGTGTCCATAAATTAATTTCTCTCGACAGCCAAAGGTTTATTTTCCGTTCTCTCGCTGAATACTAAAAGAAGCTCACACGCTCTGCGCTCTCTACGTACGCTGTTAGCCTGGGCTTTGATGTTGCTGCTCATTCATAAAATACGATGTTTACGCACACACGATGAATTTTGGCAGTCCAGGAATAATCAGGAACGTGTATGTGTGTGTGTGTATGTGTGTGCGCCTACTCGACGGAGAGATTCGTATGCACGTCTGTAGCCGAGAGGCGTCGTTGATGACCCCGACCTGATTGGCATTACTGGAAACGGGCATATAATATGTAGTACTTGGACTGATGATCTTTCTCGCACCTTTCATTTCGTGACACGTAACATTTTTCTGTTTTCAAGCTGTACCATTGGTTTAATCACTACTATATTTTTTTTTTTTGTTTGTTTTACTTCATTTCTTTATTTAATTTTTTTTTTTCATCTTTGATTATTTACGTTTCCCGTAGCGCAAAGTTGTCAAAATTAATTTGTACAGCGCCTCCGCTTCCTCGCTTCTCGTTCTCTTCGAAATTCAACGACTAAAAATGAAAAAAAAAGAAAGAAAAAAACAGACGGATGAACGCGAGATCTCGTTAATCGCGAAACGCGAGGAACAAAGTAAAAAGAGAAAAGGTTCGCGATACGAACTCATTTCTGTTGGATTTTTCTTGTTTACAGCACACATTTTCGACGAATCTCGAGGTGCAATCGCGTTAAGGGGGATTCTCTGTGATACGAGGCGCGAGAAAACGTCGCGAGAAAATTTCTCAACGATAACTGAATAGCTTTGCACGCGTGATCCGTCCGCTGTTAATTAATTCATGAATACTGCTTAGTTTCCCTTTGGAACGTGCAAAACGATCTAACGACGCTAGCCACCGTTTCTCTTTCCGTCTGCTTGTTGGGAGGAAAATTAATTTATGGACGAAAGTCTGTGCGCGATCATTGCCGCGTTTCAATTTTTTCGTTCGCGTGTTTCAAGAGAACGGCGAAAAGTGCGCATCGTACTGCGGTGGCTTTTCACTGAGCTTTTATCGCTTTAGCGCTTATCGTTTCTGTAATCCTCCAACAGCCTTTAAACCCTCCTCTTCTTTTTCTTCTCCTTCCCACTTATTTCTATCCAGGAAACGCAAGAAAAAAGGCGTACAAAGGCGAGATCGAACGATAATCGAGAATCGAACGAACGTCCCCTCGTTCCACTTTATCGTTTGCCGATCGTTAATGAAGAATAAGAGAATCCAGGAAAGACGCGCGCAAAAAAAAGAACCATCACAATTTTCTGTCGATCGAAGAAGGGAGAGAGAGAGAAAAAAAAAAAGAAAATGAAGAAGCGGAAGAAAAAGCGAATCGTAACGGGAATTCGAAATTGAGGCGAATCGAACGGATCGCGTCACGGGACCGATCGATTATCGATCGATTTCACACGGATAGACCGTGTACTGTTTCACCGTTTCAGACGCAGCCTTGATCAAAGCGTTTTCGGTGAAACGGAACAGGTCACCGGAGCCGACAGGTCGCCTTTCCTTTTTTTTTCTCTCTCTTTCCCGCTCTCGGGATCGATCCATCGAGCATCGACGACGAGGACGACGAACACCTGCTTCCTTTCGACCCGTTCGATGCCGATTTATCGATCTACATCGCCGTATCTCTTCCTTGTTCCGCCAACGATTTTCAGTTTCTCCTATCGACAACGTCCTTTTTTTCTGGGCTAATTCTTTGTGGTTTTGGTTTTGTGGTGTCTTTGGTACCCGACTACGAACTGCAACCCAACGCAACTGCGACAACTACCATCTACCACCAACTACAACTCTACAACCGTACAACTACAACAACAACAACAACAAGAACAGCGTGAGGCCACCTGCACACAATCCGTACTATGTCACAAGCCACGCGGCTGCCTCACAGGCCGTGGCAGCGGCCGCAACCATTCCAGCCGCGGCAACGGGCCCGTTCGTAGACGTAGTTGGCCATCAAGCCCAGTCGACGATTGCCGTTCCAGTAATGCCACCAGGAGCCGGCCGTAGCTTACACTATCACACACACGCAGCGACACACGCATTGCCACAACAACCACCGCTCACCTACCCCAATTGGGTCCCGTTCACGCACTTCGGTTAACCAAAAGACACACGCGTTTTTCTCACCTTCGTACCATTAGACTTATTATCGAGACGAGCGTTCTTCGTGCTTGTAATTGTTGCTCTAACGGGGAAAACGTCGCAGGGGCGAAAAGCGATCAACCTTTAAAGCGTAGACTGAATCGGTTTGTTACGATAATCAAAAGTCCCTTTGCTTCCAACGTTTTCCTCCTAGCATCCTCGTTCCAAGACCACGCGAGCGTCGTTTCGTCCGAGACGAAACCAAAGACTGCAGAAATACGTATTTGTTATTTTCTCAAAAGCAAAAGTGAAACTTTTGAATTGGATCAACGGGTTTCGAACGAATCCTCGCGTGGATTTGGTTCGACGTAGATTAATCGAGAAAGTAGATGGAAATTTCGCGGGAACGCTCTTCTCTTTTAGTTGGAAAAATCGGGTAGATCGTTTTTGCGCGTTTCTCTAGAGAATCGCGAGTCGAGTCAAGTTGTTTTAGGCAATCGAATTCCGTTGAAAATGTCTTAGATGTGCGTAAAAACGGTAGCGAATTAGTCGTCGAATAAGTAGGAAAGATGTTTTCTCGATTTCCATTTATATCGAAAGCAGAGAAGCTTTTTATCGTGATGTTCGATCGAACGCCAGGCGCGGTAGATTTTATCGATTTTTAACTGCCACGTGGAAATCGTTTAGAAAAATATTTATCGTTCTAGTTAGAAGGATTTACATAAATGGAAAATTTTAAGAGAGCATATATATATACGTACATATAATATATATATATATATACATACATAAATAATATATGTACCCTGCTGTTTTTTCGTAGAGATAACGAGAATTTATAGAGGATAAATCGAACCAACGAATAGCAATTATAGGATAAAAATGATGGACTTGAGCTCGGAGCTTAGGGCAGTAAAGGGTTTTTAATAATCGCAACACGCGTTGTCATAGTCTTTCAAATGTTTTTTCTAATTCTTCATATACGTAATACAGACGCATTTCGTAAGTGTATACGTAAATGTATAGATATTTATACAAGTACAGTTTGTATAGTTATATATATATTTACGACGATAATATTTCACGATGTGATCGACTTTACCGCGACGAAACTGTGCAAAGACTTATTAGCATGTAACACGATACGAGCGATCGTTCGACCAGAATATTAGAATAGTATTTTTCTACTTGAACGCAAGGAAAAATCGGATAACCGTACAGGAAAAACCGTGCAAAAGGCCGTGTTTCCACGGCGAGCAATCGACCGCGACGACACATCGCGCGAGTATACGTTTTTCACGTAGAATCTTTCAGAAAATCGAGCATACGCGAGATAACGTCGCGACACACCATTGTAGGAAAAATGATCGATCGAAGTTACGATGGCTTCGGGTTTTTCCTTTTTCTTTTTCAATCGATCCAAGAGGAAGGTAGGAAGAATAAAATAGAGAGAGAAACAGAGACGAAAAATCAAAACGGACAATCAGCTTATTGTTAGGTACGTTACCCTCGCGAAAATCGAATCGATGCGCGCTGATTACGCGAGTACGCGAGATCAATTAAAAGAAGCGACACACGAACAGACACACACAAACACACTACAAACGTACACACAGAAACACGCAAGCACACGTTCGAGTGTGTGATCTCCATCGCACTAACAAATGCTAACAATTGTCAGAATCAGAGAAAGGGGTGCTCCGCCCCCACCCCCACCCGCCTCGTCGACATCCTCCAACGTGCATTTAAGGAAAAGGTAACGAATCAAGAACAACTATCAGTCGACCAAAAGTAAACCAAATATACGATACGAGCGAGGAGTAATAAGGCATCAGAATCCAGGTCCTGCGAGTTTTTCTCCTACGAATCAAATGAACGAAAAAAAGAAATCAGTCGGAACGATTCGATTTGCCTTCTTGCTCCGGTCGTTTCGTTGGAATCACCACGAGTATTGCTGCCACGTAGACAGCATTTGCTCTGCTTGTATTTATCCTCTTAGTTCGTATCGCACTGCTTGCTTCATACGCACCAGTATCCATTCACAATTTCAACGTAACACATCCAGCCGAAACTCTGCCCGAATCGTCGACACGATCATACCGTCATTAGTAATTTTTTCGTTTTATTCTCATTAGCAACTCTTCACCGTCATCACCATCGATCACCAATACTAGCAACGATCCAAAAAACGGTTCGAATTTTTACGATCTCGCCTGCGGCATCTCGGTACGCGATGCTGTTCAATCATATTTCCTTTTGTTCGCTCGTCACAATTGGACCATAAGGGGCTTCAGGCGAAATTGTGGAAATTAATCGAGCCTGAAAGTGTACATAAAGATACATTACCGTATCCCTCTTTAAGCTAAGATCCGTTTTATATATCGTATACACCCGTAAATACCCGTATAAATATGTGTATATTCAGTAAGCGAATAAGAATCGTGTAAATTCTCCTAGAAATTATATAGTAGTGAACTGTCGGTGCTCGACACTGTGGCTCACCCAAACCAGCTACCCGTTTTACTTTCAACTTTATATCTGCTCGTAGAACGTCCTCCGAGTGTAAAGAACGCGATTGTAGATTTTATCGTCCGACTTTTCGACGAATTCCCGGGACTTTCTACGAGCGGAATATTATACGAGAATATCCATGTGTGTTTTATCATTTTACCAGCCAACGATTTCTGTAAATACATTACAACGTTTGTACACGTATCTTGATAGATAGCTGTTGTTCGTGTACCATTGATCCAGGACCAGTGTACGAGTCCAGTCGCATCGATGATCAGAGGGAAGAGCGACCGTCGAAGCGACTGATTTCCCCCCCCTTTCGCTAGACGTACTTCTCTAATAGAATCCAAAATGAACTTGAAACCACCCTCTCTCTCTGCAACCTTTGAACCACGAAAGACACGAAACCGCTTCGTGCTTTGAACATTGAGAGCACACGTTCAATCTTGGACGTATCGAAGCGTTTGCGTTCCTTTCGTTCTCCTTAGATGTCCGATCGACGCGACGATCTGTAGTCCCCTTTTCAACGATCGGCTCCCCACGATTTCGCGGTAGCGTACTTCTCTTCGTCCCTTTCTAATCTACCCCCTCGTAAAAGGAGTTAATTAACTTGAATTCGAAATCTAATGTAACGTAAAATTTTCAACAGGGGCACCAATCCACTGGCGCCGGACGCGGTGGACTTGACTCAGCTGACCTCGGTCAGCGAATGGCTCAACTCCATCAAGATGTCGCGGTACGCGGAAAACTTTGAAAGGTCCGGTGTGACCACCTTGGAGGCAGCCGCGCGGGTGACCGTTCAAGAGCTGACGGCACTCGGGGTGACGCTTGTTGGACACCAGAAGAAGATCATGAACAGCGTGACCGCGCTACGAGCGCAAATGTCCGCCACGTCGCAGGGATTTCTCGTTTAATTCGCGCGCTCTCTGCGAATCATTAACGACATACTTGTTTCACGCGAAAAAGCTAGCTTTGATCTATCGCGATCGACGCCGGGATTCGATACGTCCGATCGCGTTCGTTCGAGGGACGCTAGGATCCTAGCGGCATCCTAGTCAGGACGACCAGCCGTTTTTCGCACGAAATATACGCGTCTTCAGCTCGAGTACCGCGTCGCCCATCGGCGATCTCAGCCTCGAGGAATCGGGAAAGCTATACACGCGTATCGTAAAACATTCCAGCGCGACAATCGTGCTCTCCTCGAATTCTGCCTTTCCCATCCCCCATCGATTCCGACACGACGAACCTGCCGCGCCTGACGACGATCCACCCGAACGCGGCCTAGCGAAAAATAACGCGGTATCTTCTTCGCGAAATGTCCGGAACGTCGCAGCGTCGAGAGAAATGGAACTGCCATTGTATAATCACTGCCGTTAAATTAACACGTACGAAAGTATGGATAATTCAAAGTCCAACGCGAATCCTGCTCACCGTCGAGGCTGTTCATGCACTGAATCGTTGCTCACACGTACATATACACACCATCTTGTGTTTTCACTCGAAACTGACACCGAGGATCGGTCTAATATCGCAGCGTTCCTAACTTGTTCTCCGCGATATGCTCACTAATTCAAACACGCGTACACAGTTTCATACGTGTTCACGGTACAGATCATTGCGCGAACAAATAGACGGCCTAAAGTATTCTCAAAGCCTAACGCGTCTCGCTTCTCTACTCTGTTCAAAGAACGTTGCAAACCCCTGTGAGAAATACTTTGTAAGCGACCCGAACGAAAGAAGGAGCAACAGAGAAGCGGATGAAAACGAAAAGTCTCCGATAACGAGCCTAATGCCGTATTTTACGTCCCGTACAGCGAATATTTTGTAGCTCTTGTTGATAACGCTTAGTCGATGTACAACTACGATTGATATACGCGATTGTGATACAGATACACAGCCACAGAGGAACCCACACCGTTACAATTTGATCCGGCTTTTGCGAGGAAACGATAGCGCGAAATCGATCGAAATCACCAACTTAGAGTATACATATACCACGATTAAACTGATAAGAGAAAGAGAGAAAATAAAGTATAGGTACCTGTTGATTAAACGAAGGTAAAAAAGGACGAATAAAGAAGCAGGAATATGTGCCAATAATGCGAAGGGAAGGGTGAAAACGTGTGCGTGAACGAGGGGAAATGTTTGCGTGAGAGGGAAATTAGGATGGTGCGAACGTCGATCGCGATGATTGTATCGTGGATAATTTGGGGGCGAGGAAAATAGGGTTTCGAAGGAAATCGTCGAACGCGTGCGTTTGCCCCTCGACGTAACGTAAAACATATCAAGGCGTATTTAGGACAAATGGGAAACGAACGAAGCGAGGAAGGGTGTTTGAACGCGCGACCAGCGTATCGATAGAATTTCTCGACGAGCTAAACGAAACTCTGACGGCTGTTTCGAAACGATCGAGTATCTTTTCGAACAGTTTGCGACGTCCGCAAAGACAGCGTGTACCACGCGTGTAGCAACGACGACGTTTAGGTTCGTTTGAGGGAAGGAAGAAGACTCGTTTCGTTCTGATGGATGGTCTGTATCTCGTTACACATCCACGTTCGCTGATCGCAAAGACTGCTTTCCCAGGCAGACTGAAATCGGGGAGGGAAAGGGCCCGTTGACCGCGACAGGGCCGAACCTTTGAAATCGATGATCGACGGACAACTCGAACGCTTCCAAGCACCTCGGGCGAGCCACGGGAAATTTTTATTCTTAATTTAACGAATTACGCTATGAATACAGTTGGTATGGTCGACGTTCCGATGGACGAGAGGAGAAGGTGCGAACGAAGGGAACGTTGATCACCCTCGATCGATCGATCGGTGCGACGAGCCTGCCAATTAGGAGATCCTCCCTCGGAGGTCGTTCCTTTTGCGTTCGAAAAATGTGAAGGAAGGTCCTGGAGGTGGGGGCTTTCGTTCGAAGCGCAGCGTTTCGTGACCGGAGGGGATGGAAGGTTGCGTCGCGAACGTAAAGTGCTCTGTTAGGGGAGAAAGAGACCGGAAGCTACTGAAAATGGCGACGATTTAAGAAGCAATAAGTGAATACATGCAAATGCAGATTTTTATATAGAGAATGTTAACAAATTTCAGAAAATATTAATTATCGATAGCGTAAAACTATCTTCCTAAATGTTCGTATTAAAGGTTAATGAGAAATAAGGTAAAGCGTAAGGAGCGACGAACTCGCGTGGAGTCCCAACCGAACGCCAAGATATCGAGAGAGATCGAGTGCGAGTCAGCGAGAAAGAGAAAGAATGAGAGAGTATGTTTGCGTGTATGAGACGAGAAGAGAGAGAGAGAGCAGCATTGTCGCACTATAATTCTAATTTCCCGCGATCGACCGGACAAACTTCGGCCGGGACTCCGCAAGAGAACAAAAGATTAAGAAAAAAAGAAGAAGAAGAAGAAGAGTTTTTCAGGAACTTTCAGCTGTAACTGTTTGTGTCTAGCGACGAACCTGCGAGTGCGACCTGAAGTTTTGAGAATGTCGATAGTTTCAGCAAAATAATATTTAGATTTCATAGATCTCTATCGATATTACACGATCGTAGACACGAAACGAGCAGATGATAATTAGTTAGAGCGTAAAGGATATCTTATTAGAAACATTTTTCGATTCCATTTTAGTCTTTCGAGTTCTGCCAGCTAAAGGCGACCCTCTTTATCCCGAATAATCGCCTCTGTTTCCTTTTTCCTCTTTTCCCAATCGATGCCTATCATCCTCTAACTTCTATTCAGCTTACACTTTCAAAGCTTTCGATCGTACTTCATGTCCACGTATTTTCGTTCTCTCTCTTTCTCTTTTTCACACATACGAAACACTGTCTCTTCCCTTCTGTTTCCATGCTTTTTATTTTATTAAGAGACGGGGATCCGAGAAACGAGAATACCGAGAAAAAAGAAACAACGATAGGAAAATATCTTAAACGAATGAAAATTCTTCTCGATTCGCGCGAACAGGTTTCGGTTGACTGCTTCTCCTCCTGTCGTCTTCCTTTTTCCTTAACTATGTATTTTTATATCGTCAATTACATTTCTCTTCTCTTTCTATCTCTCTCTCTCTCTTTCTCTTTTTCCTCCTCTTTAATTTTTATTTTTAATAATCATTATTCTTTCTATCGAGGTACCTCCTCGAATCACTCCTTCACTTTTATACCTGTATTCGATTAACACTTCTGTATTACTATTTATTAAAAGCAAACAAAGTCTTATTTATTGTTTAGAGATCTGACTAAATTAAAAAGAACGTTCTAATTGTGGTAGATTATCTATTCACCTTGTTAGAATTGTGCAAAAGGGGACGAGAGAAAGGAAGGAAAAAAGATATGTGCATTGTTTTCTTTAACCTTAGAGTTTCCAGAAATACTGCCGCCGTGTAAAAATAAAAGAGACTAAGGAAAGAAAAGAAATGCCGTAACGCAACATCATAGATACGATCGTCGAGTCTCTAAGCAGCTATGTTATCGATTAGTTAAGCGTTTTTTATAAACGACCTACGTGCACACGTTCAATTTCTCTGCCGTTTTTTTTAATTTTTTTTTAATTTTGTTTTTACACGAATCATTCTTCTTTTCTGTCAGTCTGTTTACAGCGAACTTTGTCAAAGTACCTGCTTCGAAAACGAAAAGCAAAGAAACAAAATGAATTTAAAAAAAGAAAGAAAAGCATATATGAAATTCGCGAGATGACAAAGCACACAGGTACCGTCCCGTATATATTATAAATAGCTCATCTACTATCACGTACACGCATCATAATTTATGTATACTCGTCGAACTGAGTTTTTATAGAATTGGTTCAACGAATCGCCACCGTGTGTCCTCGATTCATTGTATAAAACAAAGCGACAAAGCGCAACAGATGCAATAAGAGAGTTGATGTCAACAGATTTTGGAATGTGTCTAAAAACATTTTTCCTATGGTGTTGTCAAGACGATGTTGAATGTAAATAAGATATAATAAATAATATACCTTATACGATGTAACAATACCTCTATCATTTTACCTCGTATTTATTTAGAAACTTTATTATCAATTTTCACTGTTGCGCCTCGAGTAAGATAATTTAAAATTGCGCCAAGTTGCCCGCCCTTACGGTGGTGCGTGAAAACAGTTGGATAAAAAGATCTCTGTAATACCATCCGACCATAATGGCCTCCGGAAACATAGTTCAACTGTTCATTACTAGATGACGAATTAATTTTAGATCACGCGTGCGCACAATAAGACCTGTTCGAGGTAGTCGCTTCCTTTTCCGTTTGCTTCTGTAAAAGGTTTGTTCGAATTTTCTATAGTTTATAAGTATCGGAATTATTCGCGGTAATCATTAAAGGTGAAGGAGTTAAAACATTCGTTTCAGATACTTGGTGTTTTGGCGATATAATACAGTGTAATATGTACAAACCTTTTATCTAACGAAGGAACGTTTATTTCAGAATCAACATGGTACAGCGACTAACCTATCGACGACGGTTGTCATACAACACAAAAAGCAACAGGAGACGTGTGTGAGTGTTACTTTCGTGGAAAAGCAATAAAAATCTTTTGATCGTGCGTTTCTATTTCTCTATTCATATTTGTACGATATGAAAAATTTTCTTCGAATGTTCGGTGCATAAGTTTCTCATCGCTTGAGGTTATGTTTTGGTTTACATTTCAGCAGTGTAAATATCATTTGAGTTCATTATTTGAAGTAACTGCGTTACACTTTAACGTGGTTTAATCTGATATCCATTTATATTTGACCGTTTTATTAAAATTATACATGTTACTATTATTCCTGTAGTTAAAGTGAAGTACCCAACAATGGTACTGATCATCTTTTGTTTTTGCAGGGTGCGTACTCCTGGTGGAAAATTAGTATATCAGTATCTTAAGAAGCCAAAAAAGATACCCAGATGTGGGCAGTGCAAAGATAAACTTAGAGGTATCCAGCCTGCCAGGCCTATGGAAAGATCACGTATGTGCAGACGTAAGAAAACTGTTAAACGCGTTTACGGTGGTGTTCTCTGTCACAAATGCGTTAAAGAAAGGTATAGCTTGCCCCTTTGATTTCTATAGAATTGTTTCGTTTTTGTTTATAATAATATCTCGTTGATTTAATACAATTTTACAGGATCGTTCGCGCTTTCTTGATCGAAGAACAAAAGATCGTCGTTAAGGTAATGAAAGCACAAGCGAAATCGAAAAAAGCAGAGAAATAATCGTTTGCTTTTTGATAATTAAATAAAATATATTTAAAATCAAGAAGGGGTTCAATTATTTTTTATAACCATGAGATCATGTATATGAACTTTTTTGTACTGTTACTCTTTATTCATCATTCATTTATATCAGTGTTGTACAATTTAATATGATTGTTCAGAAACTTGTGTATAAATAATTATATTTGTAAACAATACTGGTTTATGCATTTTCAGTTTGCAATGTAAAACTAAAAGATGTGTTTAAATTATTATTGTAAGATGCATTAATTTTCAGTAATCAGTATGTCCTTGTTCAACATTTGAAACAGGAGTAAGTACTTCTAAAGTAAAAATAAATAATTGAAATTTTTTATATTAAAGGTCGTTAGGAAGGTCTCGCTGAGATTAGCTCAAAGCCGTTGCGTTTATATGTCTAAATGGTCGGAGTCAAAAGTTAGAGGTTTCAATTTTTCTATAAAAAGTATGGTCGCACATTTTAGCTTTGGGGTCCTTGGCACCCCGGATGCTATAATGTCGGTATACAGTCACCGGTACTTCGGGGTCCCTGGCATCCCCCTGTGGCTCGAGGGGCTTAGAATACGGCCACGGTATCCCCTGCCTGTCGTAAGAGGCGACTAAAAGGGGTCACACAAACACATACACACCGATTTAGACAATTAAAAGTATGGAAATGTAAAATTGATGATAGATGGTGAGTGTAAGACAGAGCACAAAGAAAGAGATAAGGTAATTTAAAAAATGCGCGGGGTTTGGTGATGGCGGGGCTACCAGCACATCCCCGAAGGCGTGTGGCCGGTAAAGTTCGTTGGGTAGAACGGGGACAGATTAGTCCCCAAAAGCGCCAGCCCTTTAGGGGCGAAACGAGATGGAATGGAATGGGGTCCCTGACACCCCTGGATGAAATCAGGCATTCAGCCATTTTATAATTATCATTTTCCTTGGAGGGACGCCGAGCGTGCTCGAGGGTGAGCATAGCCTCGCCTGGGGGTGTCTGGGACCCCAAAAACGATGACTCCAGAAGGAAGACAGTTTGGTGTTTATCTGTAGTCACTAGTTTAGGCATTTATTCATTCAGTCAATGTAGGATCAGTGAAATTTTCAATTAGATAGAATTTACAATAAATAGAAGCTTACAAAAGATTATAAAGTTCTTAGATTTTAAACATAATTAATACATTGAAATAAATGGCTACCTTAGAGGATAAATCTATCTGGGAAGATGTGGAGGTATAAAATACAAGTTAATTTCTTATAGGTTAAAATAGAATGACAAGCATATAAATGGATGCATAAAATAATGACAATACTACTAATAACAATATAATGGGAATATCTCTCTTTATAGGAGGCTCTGGGTGAGGATGTTTTAAGAATGTCTACTGATGAAATTGTGTCTCGTACACGTTTATTAGACAATGAAATTAAAATAATGAAAAGTGAAGTAATGAGAATCTCTCATGAACTTCAAGCACAAAATGATAAAATCAAGGAAAATACAGAAAAGATTAAAGTAAATAAAACTTTACCTTATTTAGTATCCAATGTTATAGAGCTGTTAGATGTTGATCCCCAAGATATGGGAGAAGAAGATGGTGCAGTTGTTGATTTAGATGCGCAAAGAAAAGGAAAGTGTGCAGTTATTAAAACCTCTACTCGACAGACATACTTCTTACCTGTAATTGGATTAGTTGATGCAGAAGCATTAAAGCCAGGTGATTTGGTAGGTGTCAATAAGGACAGTTATCTTGTTCTTGAAACATTACCTGCTGAATATGATGCAAGAGTGAAGGCTATGGAGGTAGATGAAAGACCTACAGAACAGTATTCAGATATTGGTGGACTGGACAAACAAATCCAGGAATTAATAGAGGCTGTTGTTTTACCTATGACACACAAAGAGAAGTTTGAGAATCTTGGTATTCAACCCCCTAAAGGTGTCCTCTTGTATGGACCACCAGGAACTGGCAAAACATTATTGGCTAGAGCTTGTGCTGCTCAAACGAAATCCACATTTTTAAAACTAGCAGGTCCACAACTTGTTCAGATGTTTATTGGAGATGGTGCAAAATTAGTCAGAGATGCGTTTTCACTTGCTAAAGAGAAAGCACCTGCAATTATTTTCATCGATGAATTAGATGCAATTGGTACAAAAAGATTTGATTCTGAGAAAGCTGGTGACAGAGAAGTACAACGTACTATGTTAGAATTGTTGAATCAATTAGATGGATTTAGTTCTACTGCTGATATCAAAGTAATAGCAGCTACAAACAGAGTAGATATATTAGATCCGGCCTTGCTAAGGTCAGGTCGTTTGGATAGAAAAATTGAATTTCCTCATCCGAATGAGGAAGCCAGAGCGCGTATTATGCAAATTCATTCGCGAAAAATGAATATGTCACCGGATGTTAATTTTGAAGAACTGTCAAGATCTACTGACGATTTCAATGGCGCTCAATGTAAAGCCGTTTGTGTGGAAGCGGTACATAATACTATTACATTTCAGAATTGCAATTTGATCGAGATATTCGTAATTAATTTCTCCTATTTTTTTTTTTATAGGGTATGATAGCGTTAAGGCGTAACGCAACTGCAGTTACGCATGAAGACTTAATGGAAGCTATAAACGAAGTTCAAGCGAAGAAGAAAGCAAATCTTAATTACTATGCCTAAGATTCTTTATTCAATGATTTATTTATTAAGGTATATATTCTATATTAAATACAAGTAGAGACTGTAATGATAACAAACAAAATTGAGTTTTAATAAAAAGCTAATATTGTTTATAAAATACGTAACTCAAGCTTAAAAAGAAATTGTTCTGAATATTTATTAACATATCATGGATATGTAAAATTATGTTCATAATTTTATTATAAACTGTAGGGCTAGGACTATAGGACTCATACATAGATATAGAACGTCTGACCCTTTATTTTCATCAATATAAATTTATTATTTTCGTATATTATGATTACAAGTGGATAGATTTTCCACTACATGGTTAATCAGCTTTCGGTACAAACTATATTATTTTTTATTATTTGTTTTTTACAACTTTTGTAAAATAAAAAACAATCTTTCTTAGTTGAAATAATTATACATAGGGAAAATGAAAGTTTTAACTATTAATTACAATTTTCTCATCGTCTTCTATGACTTCTCTTCTTTATCCTGCAATAAGAATTGAATTTGTTAAAATTTCATATAAACCAACAACTTATTCATATTTGCAACAAAAGAAATCCTACTTTTTTGGTCCTTTAACAAAGCACCAATCAACTGAAATAGGTTGTCCCAAGATTTCTGTTCCATTTAAAGCATCTTTTGCTGCTTGTGCTTCCTTAAATGTTTCATATTCAACCAGAGCATATCCTTTCAGGAACCCTGTCCTTCTGTCCAAATTTAAATGCAAATTTTTAATTTGTCCAAATTCTGAAAATTTATCTTGGATGTCATCTTCCTGTGCTTCTTCGTGTACTGAGTTTATGAAAAGAATCCATCCTTCAACAGCTAAAAAGTATCAAAGCAAGTTTTAGCCAATGCAGTGATAATAAATATATTAAAACTGTTTTTATTCGTACATCTTTGTGGACCAGGTTCGTCATCATCTTCCTCAACAACATTCATCGACTCGTAATGACCAACGTCATCACGAGTAGAAACTAATTCTGCCCCATGTCCTCTACCTTTTCTTCTCTTTGCCTTTTCCTTCAAGCGCGCGATACCCTCTGAAATAATAAATAGAAAGAATCCTCACAAACATATAAAGAATTGTACTTATAGAAATGGAGTAAAGGAAATTAGAACAAGTGATATGTCTTCAAACGTGTACAATTTCAATAAAACGAAACACAAACTTACGATCGCCTTCGTCGTCAACTTCAAATTCTTCTGCATTATCAATATCTAATACATCTGCCATAGTTTAATTTATATTTGCTTTCTTCTAACCTTAAACACTACCGCTTGAGCATGTAAATTATGCGGATGATGGCGTATATAGCATCATAAGGTGGCGCTTAAGGCGATGCGAGCGTCGAAAACTTTACCGACAGTTCCTAGAGAAATCCCTAGACGCGAGTTTTCAAATTACGTCCTCATTTCTAAACAGAATGTAAAAAAATTTGTGGGACGTGTTCAGGAGGTTCTAAAGAATATTTGTCTGGTCCTTATATTATCCAAATCGTCAAAAACTTATAAAATATTGAAATTGCTGTCTGTCAACGGTCAAGAAAATGGCGGATCGGAATCACCTGCATTGATTTATTCGCAATATAAACATTTCTGTGAATCGTATGTCCAAATAGAGACCAGGCTGATATTCTTTGGGTCGGATAGAATAAAACGAGCACCAAAGGGATGATGTACAAGTCTCCAGGTAGAAGTAATTTGAAAACTACGATTTCGTTGATTATTCACTCGCGAAAGACGTTAACAAGGTAAAACAGACCAGAAATTTAGTTTCTCGTTCATTCTGTAGCGCGCAGTTCGTTCGTTTGATTAATAAACAATTGTAAAATTAAAAATAATAATTAAATAATTTTTAATAGAATAATTAAACAAAATTTTGCAATATACCCACGCGGAAATGTAAAGAAATAAACAATTTAAATAGATATAACAATAATTTGATTAATAAACAATTGTAAAATATAAAATAATAATTAAACAAATATTAACAAATATCAGATAGAAATAGTTAAATCTGCGGAACCGGTGAAGCGGAACGTCATGCTTGATTGCGCGCGCCGCGCGCCGGTACATGCGCGACCTGTGGAGAGGTCAAATCTAATCAGTCTTATCGCGACCGCCGAAGGATATGGGTCGAGCTGTCAAACATATACCGGTACGGGTTGACACTATGGATATTCGCGCATGAATTTATTAGTGTGTTACCACAAGTGTTACTGTGTGTGCCTATGGTGTTTCCTATAGTGTTTCCCATGTTTTGGAATATTTATACGGATATAGTAGTGCGACTTATGGTGTGGTCACCCATGTGTTCTGACATTTTTATACAAGTGCATTAGTGTGCTGTGTGGTGTGGTACCCCATGTACCTGCATGTGCTTTATTGTGTTTTATGGTGTGGTTTCCTTTGTGCTTTGGCATATATTTATGGATTTATTAGTGGGTTTTATGGAGTGGTACCCTATGTGTTTTGGCATATTTATACGGATTTATTAGTAGGTTTTATGGATTGGTACCCTATGTGTTTTACTATAATTTTGCAAATATTTTATAGTGTTCTATGGTTTTGATCTTCAAGTGTTTTTGGGATGTATTTGCATGTGTTTTACCGCGTTTTATGGTGTAGTTATTCCCATATAGTTTTGCATGCATATTTTTGAATTATCCTATGTATTAGCATATTAACTACAACAAATTGAGAGAAAACATATATCCTTCAAGAATCGTGATTTTTATGCTTTCAGATGTGTGCTTTGGCCAGTGGAGATACCGTTTCCTTGACGAGCCAACAGACGAGCTAATAAGATGCGTGGCGAGTGCAGTGGTGCAAGTCAACGATCGGTGAGTCGCATGCTTTAAAGTTCCTCCGGTTCCCATCATGTCGTAGGACGAATGGTCCGTAGCGACACGGGAATTGGTTGTAATTTTTATTTTTTGAGCGAGCATAGTGACCCACGAATATCACTGTATCATTTTATACAATGATAATCGTGCAAATTGCTTTTTTATGTATTTTATACCTTAGCTCAGGATAGGGTTTTCTTGTACATATTTACATATATAGATTTCGAGTATAAAAATGTAGAGAAGTCGGATGACCCTCCGACTTCAAAATACACTTTCTTTTTTATATGTACAAGAATTTATTTCGCGATGAGCGGATTTCAATATCAAAGTAATAAGCATGAATACTATTAATTATTATAACTACTTACTTTGATAACGAAATTGCTCTTGAAATTGAAACGTTTTTCCGATTTTACTTGTGAAATTGGCATCAATTTAGTATATGGGCTGGCCCCCAGGGGGGTTGGTATTTGCTCTTCAAGCATTGTATAAAGTTCCCCTTTGGAACTTGAAATTCATTCTGTCACGTTCACGGTTCTCGACCCTAAACACTCATCATACTCACTTCAGCCTCACGAACTCTATCACATAATCATTTATCCACCTGCATACTGTTGTGTAGTGAAATATTACCCCGTTAGGATTTTCAAGTTAAAGTAGTGTTGCGAAAAATTTTCAACGCGAGAGTAAATATTACCCCGTTACGATTTTCAAGTTTAAGTAGTGTTGCGAAAATTTTCAACGATAAGAGTAAATATTACCCCGTTAGGATTTTCAAGTTTAAGTAGTGTTGCGAAAAATTTCCGGCGCGAGAGTAAATATGACTATACACTGACTAGTATTCGGTGGGAATCCTTTTGGTTTTTATTTGATAAAATTAGTTACAAGGATTCCGCGGCATAAGACCGTGAACACCACCTCATGGGAGATAAAACCATGCATTACTAGGCCTTTTCAGGCACAGCCATAGAGTACGGAACATTTAAGTATGTTGCATCCCATACGCTAAGCTGTCTTAAAGTCCTTTTGCCTATACTATGGGCGTCCACCACTCGAACACGTTGGATGCAACGTGTTCGATGGGTGGGTAGCGCTCTTAGCGAAGGGGTGCACCCTGCCTGGGCCTAGAGCCTTAAACAGGCGGGGTGGGTGGTATGTAGCGTCGGGCGTAGGTCCAGGGGGCCTAAGAACCTCCGTTGCCAGCTGATATTAGCAGTGGACGAATGTTTGAGTCATATTTGCTCAATTTTGCTTTCCAGTATTTGCTCTTCAAGCATAATTTAAAGCTCCCCTTTAGTCATGTTGCTAGATCAGGATTTTCTATTTTAATTAGTGTTGCGAAAAATTTCCAGCGCGAGAGTAACTATGACGATGCACTTACTAGTATTCGGTGGGAATCCTTTTGGTTTTTAAACTCAATGTTTTATTTAATTAATCAAATTAGTTACAAGGATTCCGCGGCATAAGACCGTGAACACCATCTCTGGGAGATATACCCATGCATTACTAGGCCTTTCAAGGCGCAGTTTAGAATGTGGCGCACATCCATATGTTCCATTTAATAAACTGCAGTCCTTTTGTCTATACTATGGGCGTCCGTCAATCTGACACGTTGGATGCAACGTGTTGGACGGGCGGGTAGCGCTCTTAGCGAAGGGGTGCACCCTGTTCTAGGCGGGGTGGGTGGTATGTAGCGTCGGGCGTAAGTCCAGGGGGCCCGAAAACCTCCGTTGCCAGCTGATATTAGAAGTGCACCGTTTTTGCGTCATAGTTGCTCTATTTTGCTTTTCAGTACTTGCTCTTCAAGCATTGTAGAAAGCTCTTCGTTCGTACTTCAAATTCATTCTATCACGTTCACGGTTCTCGACCCTAAACACTCATCATTCACACTTCAGCCTCACGAACTCTATCACATAATCGTTTATCCACCCGCATACCCTTGTGTAGTGAAATATTACCCCGTTAGGATTTTCAAGTTAAAGTAGTGTTGCGAAAAATTTTCAACGCGAGAGTAAATATTACCCCGTTACGATTTTCTAGTTTAAGTAGTGTTGCGAAAAATTTTCAACGCAAGAGTAAATATTACCCCGTTAAGATTTTCAAGTTTAAGTAGTGTTGCGAAAAATTTTCAACGCGAGGGTAAATATTACCCCGTTAGAATTTTCAAGTTTAAGTAGTGTTGCGATAAATTTCCGGCGCGAAAGTAAATATGACTATACACTGACTAGTATTCGGTGGGAATCCTTTTGGTTTTTATTTGATAAAATTAGTTACAAGGATTCCGCGGCATAAGACCGTGAACACCACCTCATGGGAGATAAAACCATGCATTACTAGGCCTTTGCAGGCACAGCCATAGAGTACGGAACATTTAAGTATGTTGCATCCCATACGCTAAGCTGTCTTAAAGTCCTTTTGCCTATACTATGGGCGTCCACCACTCGAACACGTTGGATGCAACGTGTTCGATGGGTGGGTAGCGCTCTTAGCGAAGGGGTGCACCCTGCCTGGGCCTAGAGCCTTAAACAGGCGGGGTGGGTGGTATGTAGCGTCGGGCGATAGTCCAGGGGGCCTAAGAACCTCCGTTGCCAGCTGATATTAGCAGTGGACGAATGTTGAGTCATATTTGCTCTATTTTGCTTTTCAATATTTGCTCTTCAAGCATAATTTAAAGCTCCCCTTTAGTGATGTTACTAGATCAGGATTTTCTATTTTAATTAGTGTTGCGAAAAATTTCCAGCGCGAGAGTAACTATGACAGTGCACTTACTAGTATTCGGTGGGAATCCTTTTGGTTTTTAAACTCAATGTCTTATTTAATTAATTAAATTAGTTACAAGGATTCCGCGGCATAAGACCGTGAACACCATCTCATGGGAGATAAAACCATGCATTACTAGGCCTTTCAAGGCGCAGTTTAGAATGTGGCGCACATCCATATGTTCCATTTAATAAACTGCAGTCCTTTTGCCTATACTATGGGCGTCCGTCAATCTGACACGTTGGATGCAACGTGTTGGACGGGCGGGTAGCGCTCTTAGCGAAGGGGTGCATCCTTTCCTAGGCGGGGTGGGTGGTATGTAGCGTCGGGCGTAAGTCCAGGGGGCCCGAAAACCTCCGTTGCCAGCCGATATTAGAAGTGCACCATTTTTGCGTCATAGTTGCTCTATTTTGCTTTTCAGTATTTGCTCTTCAAGCATTGTAGAAAGCTCTTCGTTCGTACTTCAAATTCATTCTGTCACGTTCACGGTTCTCGACCCTAAACACCCATCATTCACACTCATCATTCATCAGTATAGTGAAATATTAGCCCGTTAGAGGTTTATGTACTAGTCATGTTTTTAGATCAGGATTTTCTATTTTGATTAGTGTTGCGAAAAATTTCCAACGCGAGAGTAAATATGACAATGCACTGACTAGTATTTGGTGGGAATCCTTTTGGTTTTTAAACTCAATCCAATATTTTATTTATTTAATCAAATTAGTTACAAGGATTCCGCGGCATAAGACCGCGAAACACCATCTCATGGGAGATAAACCCATGCATTACTAGGCCTTTGCAGGCGCAGCTTTAGAATACGGAACATATGAAAATATGTTACCATATTCTAAACTGTAGTCCTTTTGTCTATACTATGGGCGTCCGTCAATCTGACACCGTTGGATGCAACGTGTTGGACGGGCGGGTAGCGCTCTTAGCGAAGGGGTGCATCCTGTCCTGGCGTTACGACGTCCAGGCGGGGTGGGTGGTATGTAGCGTCGGGCGTAAGTCCAGGGGGCCTAAGAACCTCCGTTGCCAACTGATATTAGCAGTGCACCATGTTTTATGTCATAGTTGCTCAATTTTGCTTTTCTGTATTTGCTCTTCAAGCTTTATATTTGCAAAGTCGAATCACTTTTATTAAAAATAAAACCCCCTGGGGGTGCCAGCCCATATACTAAATCAGAGCCGTGAAATTTCGCCGATATTCTTACTTTTAATAAAGTGAGAATATCACCTTTAGTTTTTGCTAATGATACGTTTTAGCTTAGGCATTTCAGCACACATGAAGAAAACTGGTAGGTGAAAATACCTTTGGCCTTGTTCATTTTTATGCCCAAAGCTCATTCGGGTACTTAGATGTACTCGCGTGGGTGGAGGGCGGTGGACAAGGTTTAGTTTTAAGTGTAATACATTTTGGCGACTGACAAAAGTAGTGAACCAATAGTGAACCACGATAGAAGTTCCACATGTGTGTGTGTGGTTAGGATGTGGGATTTGTATCGTTTATTAACAATCTTAACTTACTATAACATTACAAAATACTTATCAAGAATAAATTGAAAAATTTTTACATTAGATAATTCAATAGAATACGAAAATGAAATGTATTACTTTAGCATAATGTTCACTATTATTTGTCAGTCGATTTCAGCAAAAAGGTATGATTTTATTAGAGTGTGAAAGTTGAATTGAACTCGGGTGTCGGAGGCGTCCCGGGACGTTCTCCCTAGGTGTAGGCATTTTTGCACCCGGGTGGTTGTATGAGAACCGTGGAGTGAATTTTTGTGAGAATGATTTTTGCCCTTTTTTAAATATAGCGATAGGCAGGCAGGTAGTTTACTTCTGGTGTGATTGAGTTTAGTTTATAAGTAGGCAGGGCCAGAGCAAGCTTTCATGTTTCTCTTCGTATTCTCCTCTAATACGTGAGAAGCTTGTATCTGGGGTTGGAAATTAAAAAATCAAGAGGAAAAATGAAAATGCAAATTAATTAGTTGATTAATTAATTAATTTAGCATTCTCTCTTGATTTTTTCAAGGCCAAGCCTTATTAGTTTGTAAGTCGTAGTCGTGGTACTAGACCTGATTACAAAAATGAAGTATCAAAGTGAAAGTGCAGTGAAGTGAAGTGAAGTGAAGTGAAGTGAAATTAAAAAGTGTTTTGTGCTTGGACATTTGCAAAAATTGTGCAGGTATGCGAGTAGCGATTCAAGGGATCGTTGCTCGTTTACGTGTTACGTTTTTACAAATGTCTGAGCAAACGTAAAATTTTCGCGAGTGATTTTTGTGAGGCTATTGCCGAAGAGAGAAAAGGCTATATGCTGAAGAGCCCCGGCAAAATTTGCCCAGAAGAGGGGAACTACTAATGGCTCTCCATCTTCGGATGGACAGTCATTCTGTCACTATGCTCGCTAATTTGTTTTTTCATTTTTTTTTTGTATGTGCCTTTTGCACATATCATCGAGAACATATTGAACTCGAAATTTTACGAGTTCAATACCCAGCTCGTTGAATGGTCAACTCGCGATTTTATTTCCCCTATTTCTTTTTCGTTTATTGCTTTATTGAAATAAATTATTCTTTTCTTATTGATTTGCACATCAATTATATTTCATGTTCTTATTTTAATTATGTTCTGTTTATTTAAAACATCCTCTGAAATTGTAATGGTAATTATATTTTCTGTTGTCGGCATTTTTCATTTCAATTGTAATCGAAATTATGATGTTAATTATATTTTCTATTTCAGCATTTTATTGTTGAATTGTTATTTTGTTAAATGTTACAGAAATTATGATGTTAATTATATTTTCTATTTCAGCATTTTATTGTTGAATTGTTATTTTCTCAATTGTTTCTGATATTAGGATGTTAATTCTATTTTCTATTTCAGCATTTTATTGTTGAATTGTTATTTTCTCAATTGTTTCTGATATTAGGATGTTAATTCTATTTTCTATTTCAGCATTTTATTGTTGGATTGTTATTTTCTCAATTGTTTCAATATTTCAAGATTGTACTGTTTAAATTTTTATTTTATGTTGTCTGTATTGAATGGTTTCACGTTATTGTATATCTAATCCTACTAATTATGTTTTCCGTTACAGCATTTTATTGTTAAATTATTATTATTTTCTCAATTGTTTCTGATATTAGGATGTTAATTTTATTTTTTATTTCAAGATTGTATTGTTTAAATTTTTATTTTATGTTATATGTTTTGAATGGTTTCACGTTCTTATGATTTTAGGGTGGGTCACTAAAGTAGCCACCTCCATGTGGTGTGACCTGGTAATTGATATCGTTTTCTAAAGATAACTTTTAGAAAGCGATATCAAGCTAAGAGCTACGATAAAAAGATTTATATATTTTTTAATTGGGAAACAATAGTTTAAATTCAGAAAAGTATTTGCGGGATTGCAATATTACCATATAGAACGTATAACTATAGTAATTTTATAGTTCCTGAAAAAGGAACTTGTATGATTTTTGATTAATTACAAATGACTAATTACGATTTCGGCCTCGATGCTTGCATTGAGATATCGATCACAAACCGTATTTCAAATGTTAGCAATCGATTCTCGAATGGCCAATTTCAAATTAAAACCATCAAATTAATACAACATCAACAACACTTTTATAAAATTCTTTGAAATATGTAACTCAATAAATACAATGTCGCTTCAAGCACCGAACAAAAGTAAAGATGTGATCTATAATGTATAATATATTATATTTATTCATTAAAAATTTACAGCCAATATAACTATTTATACATAAGATGTCAAGCGCTCCAATAACAGATAATTCCCCAAAATCATTGTTAAAAACCGTAGACAATGAACATGAAAAAACGGAAAAGAAATTAACTGTTCTTGAAACGCATGGTTATGCTCTTGGAAAAACAATAGGATCCGGATCATATGCTACCGTAAAAGTATGTTATATAAAAGAAAACAATTTGTTAAGAATTAGTATTTATAAAAAAAGATACTGAACAAAATTATCGTAAAAGATTGCTAAATCTGGTCGACATGATTGCCATGTAGCAATAAAAATAGTTTCAAAGTTTCAAGCACCCGGCGAATACTTAAAGAAATTTTTACCCCGTGAAATTGAAGTAGTGAAAGGTTTAAGGCATCCGAATTTAATTCGTTTCCTCCAAGCAATTGAAACAACCCACCGGTCTGTCAATTTATTATATTCCTCGAATAAACAAAAATATACCTCACATAATAATTATAAATATTTTATATTTAGTGTATATATTATCATGGAATACGCCCAAAATGGTAGCTTATTAGACATAATAAGACTAGATACTTTTATCGATGAATTCCGTAGTCGTAGATGGTTTCGGCAATTATTAGAAGCAATTGATTATTGTCATGGACGCGGTATAGTTCATAGGTAAATTTGATAGCGTATATAAAAATAATTTATCATGAAATAATTTGTAATTTTATTTAAGGGATGTCAAATGCGAAAACCTTCTAATGGATTCCAACTTCAATGTTAAATTGTCTGACTTTGGATTTGCGCGTGGTCGTATGAAACCAAAGAATGGTATAAATCCATTAAGTGAAACTTTCTGCGGAAGTTATGCATATGCCTCGCCTGAAATATTAAAAGGAATCCCATATTTACCTCAACTGGCCGACGTATGGTCCATGGGTGTAGTACTTTATGCTATGGTTTACGGTCGGCTACCATTTGACGACACAAATTACAACCAACTTCTAAAGGTACCCAGGTACATTAAGAGAAAGAAGAATGTATTACTGTTTATGTAAAACTACAGTTACATTAGTTTACATTATTTTAGCAAGTTCAAAATAAGATTACATTTCCTAAAGAACCGAAGGTGTCTCAAGCTTGCCGTTCTCTTATCGCCCGAATACTTGTACCGCAACGAACACGGTTACACATTGATAATATAAGAAATGATGTTTGGCTTTCCGAATCGCTTGTCACAGTTCAAACTTCTACTAGCGATACCTTCGTGGTAAGATTTTACACCACCTTTCTTTGCTTAATTAACTGTTAATATTTATTTAATATGCTTCCACAGAATGCTCCATATACATTACCAAAGGCTAGTGAAATAACAGTGAATGAAAAGAATAAAAAATCAAACAAGCATGCTGATATTAAAGCTCGAAAATCATCCGATTTAAGTATAGATCAAAATAATAACTGTGTGTACCTGAAATAGATCGTATAACTATAAATTCTTAGTTTCATTTCACATCGAAATTATCACAGTATTATGGCACCTTTATTTATAAATAACGTTACTTTTATAAATTTAATAATTAGTACAATAATTAATAATTTAAGTAAACAGGACCTGCCCAAATGCATTATTGATGGAACATACAGTACATGGTACTGTGCTCGTTCAGTCATAACTTAGAATAATACTCCGCGAATATAAGTAAAATTACTGTACTTATCACAAAAATGCCAGGGGCAGTTATTTTGTGGATAGTACTGGTATAATCTGGAATAATATGTTATTATTATCTGCTAGTCTATTTGTATTTTATAATTATATTTACCCTTGGTATCAGTTGGTAGATCCCAACCTAAACTTCTCTCAATAGCCATTTTCCATTGCGAGTACATTATATCTCTTTCTGCAAAAAACATTATATTTTTAATACATGAATTAACGTACATATAAAAACGGAAAAAAAAAATCACATTAAAGATACCATTTTCGCTTATGGAAGGTAAAAAAGTATCACTTGGAACGGCAGAATCTATTTTCACATCCCATTTCCGTATACCATCTGCATTTCCGGCCGCTATCGCAGCTCCAAGTGCAGAAGTTTCACACATCATAGGCCTTACTTTCTTGTGAAATTGTACATTTGATCAGATATTTACATTACTGATTTACTCATTTTATTTCTACTACACATAAAATGATAAATGCTCGATAAAAAAAATATTTTGTTTACCAACTGGAATCCCGCATATGTCAGCTTGCATTTGCATTAACAAATTATTAGTAGTCATAGCACCATCTACCAACAGCTTAGATAAAATATATCCAGTGTCCTTTTTCATAGCGTCTAAAATGTCTCTTGTCTGAAAACAAACAGCTTGCAAAGTTGCCTTTATAATATGTGTACTATTAGTCTCTTCAGTAATTCCGCATATAACGCTGAAATATCAATACTTTGCAAGAGATATGTGAAAGTAACATCAATAAAGACCTTTAATTCTATTATAACGTGACCGTGATATTACATTATTATACTATTTACCTCCTTGCATCTTTTCTCCAATATGGAGCATACAATCCGGAAAATGCAGGCACAAACGTGACACGATTATCATGTGGTATTGTTTCAACAAGAGGTTCAATATCTCTTATATGTTCTATTATTCCGAGATTATCCTTTAGCCACTGAATACCAGCTCCAGCTATTGCTACAGAACCCTCAAGGGCATATACAGGTGGTACATGTGGTCCAAACTGATAAGCAACTGTTGTCAATAGACCATAAGTTGATCTAACAATCTAAAAAAACTATTTATTAATATCTAATATGTGAACAAATATTTTTCCAGTACAGAAGTTGACCTCACAGCAGTTCCAGTATTATACAAAAGGAAGCATCCAGTTCCATATGTGCTCTTTGCTTGGCCCTTTTGAAAACACATCTGACCTACTAATGCTGACTGTTGATCACCTAAACACTAAGTATAAATGCATATTCTTATGAAATAAATATATTAGGCGAAGTAATAGTCATTTACTTATTAATTATAAGATGAAACATACTCCTGATATTGGTACACCGGAGAGAATATCATCCTGTATATAACCATATATTTCAGACGAACTTCGAATTTCTGGTAAAATTTCTAATGGTATGTTGAAAAATGATAACAATGTTGGATCCCATTTCAAGGTAGAGATATTCATTAACATCGTTCGTGAAGCATTTGTAACATCTGTCGCATGGATACCAGAGTTTGTTCCTCCAGTTAAGTTCTATAATAAAAAAAAAATTCTTCAAAACCTTTTGGTAGAAGAACATGTATCAATAAACATCTGCTACTAAACTGACCCAAATCAGCCAAGAATCAATGGTGCCAAACATGCACCGTTTCTGAACCCGAGCTTCATGAACAGAAGGCACATTATCTAATAACCATTTTAATTTTAAAGCACTAAAGTAAGGACTAATTGGCAAGCCACAAAGTGACTGCAGATAGTTCTTATTTTGATTACGTATCTTGTTTAATATATCATCTACAATGGAAGTAGTTCTCATATCCATCCACACTAGAAATTAAAATCCATTTATAAAATGTATTACTTATCTTATTTATTGTATTTACAGATAAAAGCAGGTGTTACCAATAGCATTATATAATGGTTCTCCAGTAACAGAATCCCATACAACTGTGGTTTCTCTTTGGTTTGTTACACCAACTGCAACTATATCGCTAGGATCTATGGCTAGTTGTTTTAAATTAAATACAGTTTGACGAATGCATTCCCTGACTGCCTTCAATATTTCTGTCGGATCTTGTTCAACCCATCCCTCTTTTGGACATAAGTGAGGTATAGAAATCTGATGATATGTTAATACTTCTGCTGTGTTTGCAGCAAAAACCTACAATAATAATATATGAATTACTAAAATATTTATTTAGATGTAAGAAGGCTGATACAACAAACCAAAGGAGGTAAAGGTATTAACACATGTGTCATGTGCATTACAAAGTATCAAATTTATTACAGGTAATAAGTAAAATTGTAGTACCAAGAATCTTGCACTACTTGTCCCTTCATCGATTGCACCGATGAGGGGTCCGTAACTGCTTGTTGACTCATGTTTGTTCATTTCATAAAAAAATGATTAATTACTCGATCGTAATCAGTTTGCCGGTGGTTTAAACAATCAAATGTCACAAACATGAATGTGAAATTAACAGTGGAAGGTGCGAATTGACATGACGTTAAAAGATTAAGTAACTGATGAAATCATTCGTTAAAAATAAGCACTCCGGACCACGCGCACGTTACTGGCTGCTTCTCATCGATCGCCTTCTTCTTCGGCAACAAAAACTGCCATTTACTAATGTCACAGCCGGCTGTAGTTTCATGCTCGATTTTGAACCTGAACTCTAGTGTCATCTTTCTAAAGTATTGCGATTACTGAATCCGCGCCAGATTTAATCATGAACATTTCTTATTATTTACTATTTCTTAATCTAATAAAAACTAAGACTTCATTTAATCTTAGTTTTGACAGAAACTTAATTAAAAGATTATTATTTATTAATTAGAAGGTGAGTTTTATTCAAAGTTAATAAGTTAGCTACAGAATTTGTAACATGTTCATAGAATGAGTTGAGTTTTACAAGAAACATTGCTGTCATTCTACTTTAAACTTATAATGATCTTCTATTGAAATTTTTCATTTTATTATACATTTTTTTGTTTCAATTTTTTCGTATTCGTGTATTACTACGCCGGTGCTGTCATGGAAACTGTTTATACGGAACTACTTTCGGAAGTTCACTTGTCAATTTGATCCACTGGATTTACCGGCAAGTTTAAAGATAAGCAACATAATTCATTTCCATTATTGTATTCATATTTCGCTCAACAAGAAAGTTCGAACTTTTCATTAAACTCAGTGAAACATTTAAAACCAGATTACTAACTATTATAATATTCGCTTCTACCGAAGTATCGATTAGCGTTCGTGAGTGACTGCAAAGCAGAATAATCTATTGCTCGTTGGTGTTTGAAGGTATTCCTATTTGAAAATGTAAGTGGAACATGACAATTAAGTTTAATGTTACATAATACAAGTTTATATCGAACTTTTTTATGTATATATTGTCCGAAGTAGAAATATTTGATTTAAATCCTTTTTTTCTGATGTGCACTAAGTAGCGCCGAATCGTATTGCAGGCAGTGCTAATCAATAATCAAAATTTACGATAAAAAGAAGTTGTGTTTTAATACATTGTTAAACCTATATTTGTTTTATTGTACATTCGTGAGAAATTTATGATTACTAGACTAAATCATAGTTAAAGACAATTCTTAAATCATCCCAACAAATAAATTTATTGAAAATGTATTTCACTTCTATTTATATAAATAGATATCATTTTTATTTCTTTCTCTTTGAATAAATATATTTGTACATCATTAGAAAATTACATCTTCTCTTTTTCACAAATATTAAGTTTATGATTACTAATTTTATTTATAAGTAAAATAAGGATTTTACAATTAATATACTGTATTTGTTATAAATTTAGAATTATGTTATGTGTTTAGGTTTTCTCGTGATAGAGAACATAATAGAGGCCGTAGAGGTGGTATTTCCAGAGGTAGCATTAGAGGAGGTGTTGAAAATATTCGTGGAAACAGTATTAGTAGATTTGGTGGACGTGGTAGAGGGACTACAAATAATATTCGTGGTAGTATAAAAGGCAAACAACCTGGAGGGACTCTTAGAAAAATCATTTGGGATGTACGGTCGTTAGAACCTTTACGTAAAGATTTTTATATTGAACATCCTTCAGTTAGAAACAGGTATAAATTATAAAATCTAATTTTTCAATGGAAAATTAATATATGACATTTATATTAGATCAAAAGAAGAAGTGGGCCAATTTCGAGAAAATGCTGAGATAACTGTGAAAGGTGACAATATACCTAATCCTATTCAATATTTTGAAGAAGGAAATTTTCCACCTTATGTGTTAGAAGTTATACATAAGCAAGGATACTCTCAACCTACAGCAATTCAAGCACAAGGATGGCCTATTGCACTCAGTGGCAAAGATCTAGTTGCCATTGCTCAAACTGGATCTGGAAAAACACTTGGAGTGAGATTAGAGATATATAGTCTTTCTTTAATTACCATTTATGGTGTATACAAGATTCAAAGTTTTCTCATTTCAGTATATTCTACCAGCAATTGTACATATCATACACCAGCCAAGACTTAGTCCTGGTGATGGTCCAGTTGCTCTAATCTTAGCTCCTACCAGAGAACTAGCTCAACAGATTCAAGAAGTAGCTAACTGTTTTGGAGAATCATCAGGTGTTAGAAACACTTGTATTTTTGGTGGTGCACCCAAAGGTCCACAGGCACATGATCTAGAAAGAGGTGTTGAGATATGTATTGCTACACCAGGTAGACTTATTGATTTCTTAGAAAGAGGAACTACAAATTTACGCAGGTATAATTATTATTTTAATTAAAAGCGAATGTAATTCGTGTATTTCGAGGTACAATTAAATCTGATGTTTTCTTAGGTGCACATATTTAGTACTAGATGAAGCTGATAGAATGTTAGATATGGGTTTTGAACCTCAAATAAGAAAAATAATTGAACAAATCCGACCTGATAGACAAGTTTTAATGTGGTCAGCTACATGGCCGAAAGAAGTTCGAGCTTTAGCAGAGGACTTCCTAACTGACTATATGCATCTTAATATTGGTTCTTTGACTCTGTCAGCTAATCATAACATTATTCAGATCGTGGACGTTTGCCAAGAATTCGAAAAGGATTTAAAATTATATAGATTACTTCAGGAAATTGGAAACGAAAAAGAGAACAAAACGATCATTTTCGTTGAAACGAAACGTAAAGTTGATGATATTACGAGAAATATAAGGCGAGATGGATGGCAAGCATTGAGTATTCATGGTGATAAAAATCAACAAGAAAGAGATCACGTACTACAAGAATTTAAAAGCGGAAGGGCTCCTATTCTAGTTGCAACAGATGTTGCTGCTAGAGGTTTAGGTATGTATTATTTTTTAATATATAGTATTTAGATATTTCGAAGTCGAATGAATCTGGGAATCGGCAACACTTATTGGATTAGCCAGTGATGCGTTACTAATAAAACCAGTGGACAGCTATGTATGTAGCAATGTGTGATTTATTAAAAGTTTCATGTAGCAGAGCCCTGAAAATGCACATTGATCAGACTATATTTTTAATTTGCTTTTAAGTTATAGTATGTTAAATATTTTAAACAGGTTTGTATTTTTATATTGTATACTAATCGAATATATAAGATTGAATTTATATAAAGGGTTCTAACAAAACACACAAAAGCTACCACTAAGACTGTCTACTTTTTTTTTTCAGAGGCACAGAGTACCCTAAGTGAACGCGGTGTACTGCCAGTATTGGGCAGACACAGTGAACATTTTATTTTTCTTTGCTTGTATTGTATTAATAATTATAATATTAACTTTGATACATATTTTAAAGAGCATATTTCTAAATTGAGAATTTTCATTAAATTCAGTTTTAATATGAAACTAAAGAATTCGATACAAAGATTTCAGTTTTATGAGAAAAAAATTATTATTTTATTAAGGGTTCGTGATAAGATAATTGTATATTTTAGTATAACTTAATCTGTACTTTCTACACTTTAAGTATCTCGAATTATTTTATTTTTATTTATTCATTTATCGGTACAATGATTGATCCTCAAGCGTTTTCTAGTGCCTCTAGTTCTTAAAATTATTATCTATTGCCTAATAAGGTTAATGCATACAGGCTTAAACCTTAAAATGCTGCCTTTATCCCAAACCAGACACCACGCTGTGTCTGTCTAATCTCTAGGCCAACAATACATTTCCATATGAAACCAACTGAATAGCTCCACATTTAAAAGTAATTGGGGCTGTTCTTGCTGATTTTGAAATGGAATTTCCAGCTAAAAGGTGGGTGGTTTTCAAACCTGATATTCAGAGAAATTTTATTTTTAAGTGAAAATCTAGATTCTATTTAATAAAAGTTATTGAAAATGTATAATATAAACATATAATATGTTTACAATTTGTTCTCAACCACTTTATGCATTTAATATTAAGCATTTTATATAAGTAATTTCCCAAGTTTGAAGATCATTCTATGAGCTCAATGCAACCAACATATGGGGTGATGATTATTACAAATAATATGAATAATATGTATTATTTTAAACAACGGGAATGCTTCCATTCGTTTTTTACGTTTTGTCACAGATGTGGACGATGTCAAGTATGTAATAAACTTTGATTATCCATCATCATCAGAGGATTACATACATAGAATCGGTCGTACCGGACGAAGAAGGCAGACCGGAACTGCTTATGCATTTTTCACAACCCATAATATGAAACATGCTGGAGACCTAATAGAAGTATTAAGAGAAGCAGGACAAAATATAAATCCTCGACTTACTGAAATGGCGGAATTGGCTAAATCTGGCAATCCTGGAAATAGAAGTATGCTCTCAAACTATTTTTAATTATTGTTTAATACAATTTCATAATGCGTGTATTTTTAATATAAAAGGTGGAAAACGGTTTATGGGTACTGATAGAAGTAACGGTAGACGCGGTAGTAATGATAATAGGGGAAGAGGCGTTTCTACAAGAGGAAGAGGTCTTGCCGGTGGTCGTAGTGGAAATACTTATCAATCTACTTCAAATGGCTATTCAGGTTCAGATTACAGTAGTTATAATAATTCAAAACAAGGCAACACAATTCATCAGAACTCAGGATATGGTTACAATACACAAAGATCGTATGGACAAAGTAGCTTGGCTCAAAGTTATGGAGGAGATAGTTATGGAAATACCTATCAATACAGAGGTACAACGTATTAAAACTATGTTAACAGTATTAAAAAAAGAACATTTCATTAAACAGTGTTAATAGTAATACACTTAGTTAAATTTGTGTTAAACATAAAATAGAATAAAAAAAGTACACAGAACATGAAATTGGAACCAAAAAATATATATGCAATTAATGAATATATATAGAATTAGTGTGATAATGGTCAAAATAAAATTTGTTAAATGTATATGTATGATTAAACAATCAAGAAATAAAGATTAAAATTTACTTAAATACATAATACTTAAAAACTCTGAATGGTAATGGATATATTATGTTGTATTTAAATATAATATATTTCGATATCTTATGTTATATTATAAAACTTGTTTTATTTTAAAAAGCGTTTAAAATGAAACTACTGTTCTGAAAATTAACACATGTTAAGTAAGATAATTCTTAAAAATATATATCAATTATTGTTAATTTATTAAGTTACGATTTTATATAAATTTTAATAAAGTTGTGATGTCACTTCCAGTGTATAAAAGGGACAAAATTTATTCATTTCAATTTATTTTACTTTATAAAGATTTCAAAAATACAGTTCATAGAGATTAAATCTACACTAAAAATAAAGAAATTGTAACAAAATTGATTTTGTAATATTTCGCTATTGTAAATTCAATTAATAAAATTGTTTTTTTTCTTTTATACATTAAAATAGAATCTTTAAAGGTCGAAAGATATGAAAATGTGATGAAATTTAATTTTAATTTTAATGTTATATGTATTTCCGTATATGTTCCCCTTCTCGATGTCATTATTTCCGGCATTTTTCATATACAAAAATATTAAAAATTAATGTTTGGAAAAGAGATAACTGTTCAAATGTAAAACATTAATAAATAATATTATTTGTGTATTATTATGTATAAATAATGACAGTAATAAGAAGTATAAAGTAATATAAGCTAAAGAGGGACTATTTCCTGATACGTCACGACGCCATGACATTAGTTTCGCAGATCCCTTTTAGATCGTGGAAGGAGTGGAACGTACTTTTCGTTAATTCTGCTCCTCAATATACTGATTTATTCAAGAATATCAACCTATTTTCAAATTAAAAGTACTACATATCTGCATGAGAATGTAAGTTGAATAAGATTTTTATTAAAATTACGTGAAATTATCACTTTTTTGTGAATTTTTTTACTGACATTTTAACGTCTATGATTGACTATGCTTTACTCCATATTGCTTCTTTACTAACGAAACTTTTTGCTTCCATAATATAGAAAAGATCTCTACTATTAGAAATAATTAGTTGAAAATTAACTTGAGTATTTTAATATTAAAAATATTTTTGCATAAATTTATAAATGTATGTATATATTTTATAACTATAATTTTATAAACGCATAGCACGTGTTTAATGTATATTAATAAAATTAGATATAACTTAAACCTATAATATGTTATAAATAATGTAATGTACCATTTGTAGAATACTGTAATTATATATTTAATACGATTTCTTGCAATTAAACACACTTCCAAATATGTATTATCAGAAACTTGTATGCTGTTCGTATCTAACTAAAAGTACATTTATTTTCAAGGGCATACCGTGATCGCGAACGTGGTGACAGAAGAGGAGGTGGAGCACGCGGAGGTGGTCGTTTTGGTGGTCGGGATGGAAGTAGTGGAGGTAGTAGATTTGGTAGCAGTTCCAATAGAGATAATAGTTTTGGAAACAATAACTTTAAAAATCGTCAACCTGGTGAACGGCTTCGTAAACCAAGATGGGATATGAATACGTTACAGCCATTTAGAAAAGATTTTTATCAGCCGCATCCTAATGTATCCACCCGAACTACACATGCAGTTGAAGCTTATCGTTCGGATAAAGAGATTACTGTAAAAGGAACAAACGTGCCAAGTCCGAACATATTCTTTGAAGAAGGTGGATTCCCAGAATATGTTTTAAACGAAATTCGCAGACAAGGTTTCGGAGAGCCAACCGCAATTCAAGCACAAGGTTGGCCTATTGCTCTGTCTGGCCGTGATATGGTTGGAATTGCTCAGACAGGATCTGGCAAAACATTAGCATATATTTTACCAGCCATTGTACATATAAATCAGCAACCTAGATTAAATCGTGGCGATGGACCTATAGCTCTTATTTTAGCACCGACGAGAGAACTTGCACAGCAAATTCAACAAGTTGCATCAGACTTTGGGGTTTCGTCTCAAGTGAGAAACACGTGTATCTTCGGTGGAGCTCCAAAAGGTCCTCAAGCTAGGGATTTAGAGCGAGGTGTTGAAATTTGTATAGCAACACCAGGACGTCTTATTGACTTCCTAGAACGTGGTACAACGAATTTACGTAGATGTACATATTTAGTACTAGACGAAGCCGATAGAATGCTTGACATGGGCTTCGAGCCCCAAATTAGGAAAATTGTAGAACAAATCAGACCCGATAGACAAACTCTTATGTGGTCAGCGACGTGGCCAAAAGAAGTTCGTAACCTTGCGGAAGAATTTTTAACTGACTATATACAAATTAACATTGGTTCTCTGCAATTAGCAGCTAATCATAACATTCTTCAAATTGTCGACGTATGCGAAGAGTTTGAGAAAGAGGGTAAACTTATGAAACTTTTGGAAGAAATTTCAAACGAGCCAGAAAATAAGACAATTATTTTTGTTGAAACCAAGAGGAAAGTGGACGATATAACGCGTGCAATTAATAGGTACGGATGGCAAGCAATTGGCATCCATGGAGATAAAAGTCAACAAGAAAGAGATTATGTATTAAATCGTAAGTGTTAATTGAATACTTTTAGATATATATATATAAATATATTCAGCTCAATACCAGAGAATTTGTTTTAGAATTCCGGAATAGCAGATCTGCCATTTTAGTAGCTACGGATGTTGCAGCGAGAGGATTAGGTAAGAATCCGTTCACACATTAGTGGGTATGATGTAAGGGTCAGGCTGCGATGGTTATTTCACGTTTGTAAGAGTTGTATTATTGTGACGTGGCAACGGATAACGGCATGTGCCAGACTGATTATTGACATTAGTCTTCGTATGAATGGAAATTATCTTTAAAAAGAAGCATAGGTTTCAGAACAATTAATTAACACAGCGATCCACGCTTTTTTTCATTTTATTTAAAATATTATTTTCATTTATTTTCGTTAAATTACATAGGGAACTTAATGATACATTGTACAAAACATAAAAATAGAAATTAATGCTATTCTCATCTTTTCAGCGCAACAGTAGAGATATTTTATAATTTGTTCAGTTTTATTATAGCTTAGGTGGATTTTGACGTACTTTTAATTTTTTATAATAGTATATAAATTTTATATATTTTTAATGAAATTTGATTGATTACACTGTAATGTTTCAACTACAAATCTATGTGATTAGTAAAATTAAAAGTAAGTCAAAATATTTCAGTGTATAAAATTAGATTAGGTGAACAGGTAAGATGATAGAAGGCTCTTTAAATTTTGTTCTGATTGAGAAAAGTCTTGTCAGTCTGGTATTAACGTGCTGTTCTATGTGTTTTCAGAGGCACATGCGACGGAGTTTTATCAATGATAAGAACTCTGGAGAGCTTGCTTTGGAATATATAATTGAATGGGGCGTGACTGCTGGTCTCTGTCCCCGCACAACAAGCTAACCTAACGCTGTGCCTCGGCCCACCCGTGCCACTTGAAAAAACACACTCTCACTCTGTACCTGCGACGGTCCAAAGTATGGAAGTCATAGAGTTAGGGTATCTAGCATACAAGGACTGCTGAAGCGGATAGATGTTTTACCACTTACATTCTTAGATTAGAGGGATAGGGAATGAGATTACATTGTTTTGCAGTGATGAAACACTAAATGAAAATGTTTATATTTCAATATACATAATGCATTTGGCAACACTTAGAAATTTAATGAATTCTCAACATTGCAAAACAATTGTTTCTATTACGCATATAATGGAATGCATGTGGGGTTGATCGGAGAATGCACACGGTGCTCATCCAATGTTACAACCTCACGGAAGTAATACACAAGGATCAAATTTTGAAAGACCAGCACAGATCCATACTTTGGTGCGGGAGAGAAGGGTGTGAAGTTGCTAAGAGTAAATATACAGCTCGCTAACGCATAAAGTGAGAATTCCATGAGAACCATCTGAGCTCTGATTCCTCTACATTTCCAAAAATGTATTTACGTTTCCAGCTTTTGGCAACCACAGGTAAATAATATAAACCTGCTCTTTGTGGTCAATTCGTTTCTGTACTTCATGTAAAAATTGTAGATGGAATTAAGAATTTTATACAAATTTCTAATAATAGTTCATATCTTAAATTGTATATCAATAGGCCCAATCGTACGTGAACAAATGAACTCCCATTATACATTTAATTCCATCTATATTAAACATGGTATTATATTTGTTAATGCTTTAATTAATTCGCTTTGTAAGTTAACTGAACCACAAAGACTCAAATTATTTACGTTTTCGATGATTATAACTTGTAATATTGTACAGATGTGGAGGATGTTAAGTTTGTGATAAATTTGGATTATCCGTCCAATTCTGAAGACTATGTGCATCGTATCGGACGTACGGGACGTTCACAGCGTACAGGAACCGCGTACGCATTTTTCACACCTGGTAACGCACATAAGGCTGGTGACTTAATTCAAGTTCTGGAAGAAGCAAAACAAGTTGTGAATCCTAAACTGTACGAATTATCAAGGAATCCAGGCGTTTATAAAAGTACGACTTCATTTTTACTTAAATTACATAATTTATTTTCTTTAATTCAGTATCACTAATTTGTATGTTACCATTTTGTTTTTTGCAGGAGGTCGTTATGGTGGACGTAGTGGAGGTGGTAGTGGACGTGGTTCCGGAGGTCGTGGAGGAGGTTCTCGGGGTTCTCGAGGAGGCCGCGATGGAGACAGAGGTGGACGGTTTGATCGTTCGAACGGAGGCGGAGACCGAGGAAATAAATGGAATGGAAATAATAGCAGTTTAACTTCAAATAAAAATTGTAATATATTTATAATTTAATTAAAATTGTTTATCTCTTGCCTTGCATCGTTAAGTATTTCTTCTTTATTTAGGTGGTATAGGAGGAAGCAATTACGGTAGTAAAACTTTCTCACAAAATAGTTATGGTGGAGCTTCTGGTGGTGGCTCCAGCAGTTACAGTCAGAATGGCAGTGGGTACGGAGGAAGTGGGGGAGGAGGTGGTGGAAGTAGTTATAGGCAACAAAATGGTTATTAATTTAAAAACAATTAATTTTAAACAAAAGTTTTATGTAATATAGTGAAAAAAAGAAAAGAAACAGAAGAAGCAATGTCTTACTTGAAATAGAACATTTTCAATATAACATGCTTCTTATTTGAATACAGAGTAAAATACATGTGGTATTATTGCCGATGATTGATCATATTAACAATTTCGGTTATGTCGATTCAAGGACATTCATAAGCATTCTCTTTTTTTTAGTGAAAAAAGAAAATATATATGTATAAGTGTAACAGTAGGTAGATTATTATTAATGACAACTTCTCATTTATGATTCTTGCAACTGCAACTGTTTATTCGCTCAAAACAGAATTTATTGTTTATCGGTCTTATAAAACTTACGATTTATTTTATATACATCAAAAAAGAAGAAATTTTATTTTGCAAGATCCAACAGCAATGCCAGTTGGTATTTGCTTCTTAAAGTAAATCACCTTTAAGAAGCAAAAAGTTATATTAACTTAAAAAATAATTTATAATAAATTGTTTTGTAATAGAAATTTATTAAGTTGTAAGTGCATGAATCATTATTTAAAAACGTACAATACATTGCACTGTATTAAACTTAAGAGGGTATGGACACCCAGCGTATTGTAGTATTAAAAATTTAATAAAATAGTATAAGTATGGAACCTAAATAATTGTATACAAAATTTCATTACCATAATTTGCTTTTCTTCCGAGGAAAGTAAATTGAATCATTAAAATTCATAATCCGACTTAAAAATATTTCAAATTACAAATTCATATATAAGTAGCATATTAACATTGTGATCTCATTACAGAAATGGTAAATTACATTTTATTCGTTGAAATAATATTGTCATATGATTATTTGGGACTTTAGTTGTCTAACGTTTTGATCGCCGGCAAAATATACATTATGATAATCGATACTGATACGAGCAATCAGTGCTATTCTTCAAAAAGAGATACCTTTCTCATTCATTGGTTGAAGTGGTTATCAGAAGTCATGCGATCAGGTCAGAGTTTATTGATTCATTCCAACATATATAAATGTTCTGTACAGTTACAATTTTGCGATATTACTAGACCTGTTACAACTGGTGATTATGCGTGCCTGTTTGATTGCTTTTTGCACTAGTAGAATTCTCATTGTAACATCATCATTTCTTTTTATAGTATTTAACGTACAATATATTAATGTGTATATTTCAGTGTTCCATAATATTGCGTGAATATATTTTTCGATGTCGGTTAAACAAATGGAAAAAACTGTTATATCGAAATTCTATACAGAAAATATTAATGTCTTGTCGATGATTAAATTTTGTAGATCTGAAATCGTCATAATATTTTTATATTGTACAATGTTGTCCAATAAATAACGGAAGTATTCCATCTTCATTATAACAATACTGTAATTGTATCATTGCGTATTATTATTCCATGCTTAGTGTATTTTCATTCGATTTTATGTTTAATTATAAAATGAAACCTGTGAAATGTATGATACTACTTATAACAAGTAGTTATAAGTGAAAACAGTTCAATCTTTTTATGAAATGAGGTACTTAATTTTTAGGTAACAAGTTGCACATATAACTGTACATTATTTCACACAGTCAATATACAAATGTAACTGTAAAGTTATGTAAATCTTTATTTTATGCAAATCCCATGGTTGAGTTTAGTGATCAACGTTCCATTTATCAAATATTTACAAGGATAAATTGTAATACAGGTGGGGACGAAAGTGGTGGGGCTGCGGTTGATAGAAGACGTATGATGCGCGAGGCGGTGACGCGCGTAGTACATTCCAAGATCTGTTGTGGCGCGGTCACTAGTCCTCTGCTGTTATTTATTGAACGAAAAGGAGTGTTATCTTTTAAATATCAGCACCTTCATTATGACAGAAGACCGCAAGGAAGTACGAGTATGGTGCGATGGTTGGTAAGTTCTGATGAAATCAGCTTCGTTATTACTTTGAACTTCTTGTAAATACTTATTCGAAATTCTGGATGACTTTGATTTTTCGCTAATAACATGCCGATCGTTAATATTTAATATGTGTAATACAGTGCTATGTACAGTAAAAAAGTATTGTAACAGTAGAATTACAACGACAGTATTGAACGTTCAGTATCTTTTGTAGTGCATTGTAATCATACTTTTATAATACATTTATTTTTCATGTTATCTTCCTTTATACTTATATGACATGTTCTATTTCACGCGTGAGATTATTTATCGAATTCTTGCTATCTTGAACTTTTAATAGCGGTGAATTACACCATTGCATTAACTTGTTGAAACTTACCGGCATTCCGTATTTGAATCGTAGAAATATTTTTATTTTATACTTGTATTTTTTAATACAGCTACGACATGGTACATTTCGGCCACGCGAATTCTTTGCGACAGGCGAAAGCATTAGGTGATTACTTAGTTGTCGGTGTACATACAGATGAAGAAATTACTAAACATAAAGGACCTCCAGTGTTCATGGAACAGGAAAGGTATGATTTTATTTCAAGAAGAAATTTGAATTTGAAATTTTTATAGAATTTCATTTTAACAATATTTTATTAGAGAATATGGTACTTTTGGAATAATATATTCAGTAACTATTGTATAACTTGATATATTTGTGTTAGGTACAAAATGGTTCGTGGAATTAAATGGGTAGATGAGGTGGTAGAAGGTGCACCTTATGTTACAACATTGGAGACATTAGATAAATACAACTGTGATTTTTGTGTACATGGTGATGATATTACTATGACAGCAGATGGTATAGATACATATCATTTGGTAAAATCAGCAGGTCGCTATAGGTATACATAAAATATTCCAATGATAATTATGTAAATTAAATTTAAATATATTACAAAGACTCTTCGTTATTATAGAGAGGTTCAAAGAACTGCTGGTGTATCTACAACCGATTTAGTAGGACGTATGCTTTTAATGACACGTCAACACTTTAGACAAGGAGATAGCGAATATACTGTTGATAGAGAACCCAGCAAAAGGATGGGTCAAGATAGAACAGCTAGAAGTCCATGGACAGGCTGTTCACAGTTTTTACCTACTACACAAAAAATTATTCAGTTTAGTGATGGAAAAAGTCCACAACCTGGAGATAAAATAGTTTACGTAGCAGGAGCATTTGATCTCTTTCATGTTGGTCATTTAGATTTCTTAGAAGTGGCAAAGAAAGAAGGAGATTATCTTATAGTTGGACTTCATACAGATCCAGTAGTTAATCGGTACAAATGTGGTAATCATCCAATCATGAATCTTCATGAAAGAGTGCTCAGTGTATTAGCATGCAAGGTAAGAAATTAATTTGAAATCATAGTAAAATATATTACAGTATACTTAAAGCTTGTTATTTGATTTGTACATAGTATGTTAATGAAGTAGTAATTGGAGCACCATACGAAGTGACAAAGGATCTAATGGAACATTTTGATGTATCTGTTGTTTGTCATGGTCAGACTTCTATAATGCCTTGTGAAGATGGTTCAGATCCATATGCTGAACCTAAAAGACAAAATAAATTTAAACTTTTGGACAGTGGTAATGACATGACAACAGAAAAAATTGTTGAACGCATTATTCTTCACAGGTATGTTGTGTTCATGTATAATAATACTTAGAGTATGTAAAAATTTTATTAATCTTCATTTGTGTTAGAATTAAATACCACTGCTTTCTTAGATTACATCTGTCAGTACCAAAAAAACATAATTGCTTTGTTTTTAAATCTAACTTGAGTAGTGACATTAATCTGCATTTGAGGTCATGACTCATTAAAGTATAAAATTACCTATTCGTCTCTCAAGATATGTTTTTTAAATAGTACAACAAAAAATATACTGTATGCAGTTATTTATCTTCCTAGGTCAAATGAACTTCATAAAATAATTAAGAACTTGAACAACCGTTGATCCGTCCAATTTTGCCATATTACATTTTGTAATTCCCTATTTCACCTGCAATAAACACTTATTTCTTTACTTTACTTTATAATTTTTTCATCATTCATCAACTCATGCTTTTGTAATGGGATATGCAATTTTATGCTAATAAAAAAACACATCATGGATTCATCTTGTACTTTCATTTATTTTTAGTCTGTGTAAGTGTATGTTTTTTTATTTTGTAAGAAATGTAATTTTAGAATAACAATGGAAATTTTAAAAATCATTTGCATATCCCAAGTCTTTAAGACAAACCAATCATGTTTTGATCTAGTGATTAATTACAGGTTGGAATTCGAAGATAGAAATTTAAGAAAAGAGAAGAAAGAACTGGCAGCATGCGAAGCCCTTACGAAGTCTCAGAAAAATGAAAGGACTAAATAATTTACTCTGTAGACTCAGAGTGTGTGATAATCATATTTTATAGAATACACTTGTAAATACGATATCACACCGACATGTTACGTATTTAATTTTATTCGAAAAATATATGTGGTTTAAATATTTATAGTAACGCTGGTATCTAAAGTATTGACACATTGAAGTGTTATTTTTCACTCCCGAAAACTCAACGAAGGATAAAAGGCAACGATAGAGGTATACAAAAGATCGTGAATATCTGTAAACTTAAGTATTTTTTAATTAGAAAGACTTAAGGAAAGATATTTTATGTTACTCTATTTATAAACGGACGCCTATATATTTGGTATTACTGTGTTACTTATAAAGTTTGTATTAAAAGGAAATAATTTCAACACTACATTTTTGTGTTACATGCAAATTGTGGTTTTAAATGTGGATATTATTCATATATTTTATATTTTTAATTTATTATTATACAAATTTTGTAAGTTTTATCAATTACGGATAATTATTACTACTTTAGCGCTGAGAATAATTTTCATAAACTTATAAATTAACAAGTATATTCTATAAAATAATTAAAACCAAAGCCGTAATATTTTTTCGTCGACAATTTTTTTATATAATGTAATTTATAATTTGCTTCTTTACGTATAGTAAGTAAAAAATAAAAATGTAATGTAAACTGCAAGTTTATAAATACGAAAGTTATGTAAATATTATTAATTTTTAAATGGTTGATTGCAATATTTTCTAAATATGATTTACTTTATACAAATAAACAGAGTGATGTTTCATAAACATCACTTTTTCTTTGTTGTAAAATATTTAATATAAAAATACAAATTAAAATGAAGTTACGATAATTTCTCATGATTATTTATGAGATAAAACAATGCTATGTTTCAGATTATAGAGTCATTTGAAGGATAATTAAACTTCTATATTCATTAATTTTGATTATCTTGAAACCATTTTTACGGAAGATACAGATATGAAACAATTAATAAGTGCCACTTGTTGTAACATTACTATTACATTATTCTTATTTAAGCATAAATTAATCACATTAACCAAAGCCAAAGTTTTATTGTACATATGATGTACATATAGTGTCATGTATTTATTTTCATTCTCTTGTAAAGTATGGAGTAAAGTAGACTTTCTGAAGGAAAATAATGATATAGCCATTGTCATTGTCAAAATGACGATACATCATCAATGTATCAGGAGCTCAGGGAAGAGAAAATCTGGCAAATCTACCATGCTCGATACTGTATATGTATATGCGTGCAACATTAGCTACTTTTAATGTAGAAATTATGCTTTTCATATTTCAATTTTTGATCAAGCTGATCAACGTATAATCTTTTTAAACTACATTTTTGAAACACGCTGCGTTATGTATGTATAGAAATGCAACAATATAATATGCTACATAATGTTGTATTTTCTACAAAGCAAAAATACTTTAAAAATACGGCGGTGAATAATTATTGCACGCGTTCATATGTATAATTAAATACTTGATTGTATTTATTTACCTATATGTTCAGTTGATCAATTAAGGAGTATTTAGTTGAAGTCCTTAAATGATCAAGGTTTTGTTATATAAATAATAAATAATAATATTCTACTGTGTATATACAATAAGTCAAAGTTATACAACCACCTGCGGAAAACCCGATACATTGTCATTAATTGCAACGGGCCTAAGATAATTATCCTACAATTAATCTAATTATTACCGCTAGAGATTACATACGCACTGATTCAGGTCACGTAATAGCACTGCACGTTCAATAAATTTATCAGTAACAATTACATTGACAATGAGAGACAAAGAGAGAGAGAGAATAGTACAGTTTTAAATATTGACTGTAAAATAAAAGAATATGAATTTTTCCGTGCGATTGTTTGTATGAAACGTGCAAGGTGAGCGATTAGAGAGAACAGTGAAGTTTTATCATTTCGTTAATGTCTACAAATCAGTGTGAATTTATTATTGTGATCTTTGTAGCCTGCTTATACGCTAAATCTATCAAGATCCTAGTAAATTCGTTCTAAAAATAAATATATTATACTGGAGCTCTGTAATTAAATTTACGAACAAATTCACCGGTGTAAAAATATAATTTTGCTGGATAAGCGATTACTGTGCTTCGCTTGCTCGCGTTATCAGCAATTTTGGTATCTCGTTTAGCTATGCTAGACCTGCGGGATCATTTTGATTGAGCGTAATAATGCGCAGCGTCCGCGATAATTTACTATTGCACCGTTGATCGGCCAGTATAACCGGGCGTCGTTTCAGAATATTTCCTAGCACGATCTCGTATCAACTCGTCGATCGTTTTGTTCTGTGGTATTGTCGTTGATATATTGTGAAGACGTGTAGCCAAGTAGCACATGATAAGAGCTGATAATACTAAAAGCGCACCTAAACCGGTCGCGACGTAAAGGAAACTACCGCAACTATTGTCCAATCCAGCAGCCACTTTTTGATACAATTCTGGAAAAAAAGTTTATAAAATTAGTCTTACGTTGTATTTTTATGTATTAAAGTTTTAACTTTCGAACGGCGGACAATTATGATAATTTCAATTTAATTTTACACTCTATTCATTTTCTCAACGTTAAATTATTTTTTTACATTAACTCTTTAAGTTTCCGCCGTTCTACGGTTAAGTAATTTTTATTTTAGTACCGTTAGATTATCAATTTTATATTTAAAGATATATGTATGGAATTTGTTTTGTAATTTACCATCGGGCATCATCACCGTGTACTCGATGTTTTCTTTAAATTTCGTGTAAGGGGTCGAATCGTTGTACTCTTTTATTAAACGTTCGACCCTGGGAAGAAAATCGTTCGCTGTTTCTTCTAAAAATCTTTTTCTTCTCTTCCCGTGTCCTGATGGCTCGAACAGATCCAGACAAAAATCCTGCAAACGTGTATCCATTGAAATATTCAAAAACCTTTATTCTTCATTCATTAAAAACAATAATTTCAAATTTATAAAATGTAATATATAGACATTCCATTTATGATCAGAGCAGTTGAATATTATTTGAAATTATTGATTTCAAAGGATACATTTATTTTTCTAATAATTATTAGAAATAAATGAGGAAGAATTTTTATTTACATAGTGAAAAGTAATTGCAAATATAAAAGCGAAGATAATGTTTTTTAAGAAACTTTCTAAAAAACAAGATATTATTTCTATTCTTCAAGAAAACTGTAACAGAATTAACGGAAGCCGGATCAAGGGACAATGTTATTATTTACATAGAGAAGCTCGAGTAAGTCGACAGCCAGTCATTCAGTCGCCGGACGCGACGGAGGAAGGATAGAAATACTGTTTCCTTACCGGTTGACAGTCCTGTGGTTCCATGCATGCCTTGATCTGAGAATGGATCCATAGTGTGGATCTTTCCCTCATGGAGCTGAGGAGAAAGGCCTCGAAATCCAAGAAAACCTCGTTCTTTCTCTCCCTGTAACGAGCCGGCTGATGAGGAATTATCGACGCGAAATCCCGATTTCTGCAGCCGTCCTTCACCAGCACGACACTTCCTGGTGCGTGAGGTTGATCGGGATCGGGGCTAACGGTCACCTCCAACAGCTTAATGTATCCCCATGCGCTGTCCGGGCTGATTCGAGCTCTCAGCTGAAGCTTTGTACCGATGGGAACCGCTTGATCGACCGTTTGCGATCCCGATGCATCTGATACATTGCCAGTAGCCTCCCGATAAAGGGCTACTTCGTATTCCAGACGACCCGGTGTCTCTTCGACCACTCCTGACACCCTCGCTCCATGCGGACTGAAAGAAACGTTTCAGACTGGGGTCATGGAGGTAATCGATTTCCATTTTTTATCTATTCGATCTGACATTTATGAAATTGTCTATGAAATTTAACACTTTGATGGTCTTATGTATATTTCATCAAATTTTATTATCATTGTACCTAATTATGGATTGAAATATTATTATAGTATACACCCTGTGGTATCATAAACTCTCGAATTGATAATTATGTATTGATTAAATTTAAAGGTACAGGTGATAATTAATTTAAATTTAAAAAGTTCATTAATTGTAATAATGAATATGTGACATAGACCATCATGGTGTCAAGTATTGAAATTCAATAGCTATAGTTTTATTGATAGTGAAAGTTTACAGTGGCAAGAAATTGTTACTATGATAAAAGTTTCTTTTTGTTCCCTGCCTATTGATGAACGAATGCTAATTAATTATGCATGTGACTCAACATAAATAAGATATTTAATAACTTGTTTTCATTGTTTTGTTCTACAGTAATCCACGTGTTATCACTAAAAAACAATTTTTATTAATAATTATACATTTTTTTTTAAATTTTAGTTTCAGAATATCTAGTGCTATTCTATTTGAATAATTGCAAGTATACGTGTGTTTTAGGATACCACGCGACTTTGTCGAACTGGTATAACAACTTACAAGGTTCCAGCAAAACCAGCGGCTTTGTGTCGGAGTAACGTGGGCTCAGGTGGTCGACACATCAGGATCAATTCTTGATCAGCCAGCATTACAACTCCAGGGAACGCCGGGAACCATATTCGCAGGTGAATGAAACCCTAACGATAATTAAAATTTCATTTTCAACACTTTTCTTTTATTGAAATCAATGCTATCTATTATCTATTGAACAGGTCGGTAGATTTAATCATTTCTATAGATACAATATTTATTTTCCGATAATAAATCAAAATATAAAAATTTCTGTTATGTGCGCTTCAATGTTATCGATCATCTAAATGTTAATTGTAAATAATTCAAGGATCAAGATGAATATCGTTCAGAATCAGGTCAATCGACACGATCTTATCGATGACCATTCAGTAGATATCGCGTGTTATTGGATGATTTTCAATTGCGAGAAACGAACGATAATTGGATCACTGTCGTTTCCAATATCTTATATAAAATTTAGTGGAATTGGTTTCGTTTAGGCACTCCATCCATTCTTGGTTCGATCAGATAAGATTTCAGTGTTTAGATTGTACAGTAGAGTGCAAAGTAGACTTCTGTTGGAAGTGGAGGAGAAGGAATATCTAAATTTTGCTCCCTCTTGGTTTCTCCTTTGGGTCTCCCTTAGGTCTCCCTTAGGTCTCCCTTAGGTCTCCCTTAGGTCTCCCTTAGGTCTCCTTGGCTCTCCCTTAGGTCCCCTGGGCTCTCCCTTAGCTTTTCTTAGGCTCTAGGCCCCTTTTCTAGGCCCCTTGAGTTATTTCTACCAAATACCAAACCAAATCAGATCTAACTCAGTAATTTCCAAGTATCGGGGCAACTGATGGTATCTCCATCCCTTCTTACATCATCCATCATCCCTAAGGGAACCTAGACAGTGTACAATCTAAATTAAATGGAATAATATTTGATCGAACCAAGAATGCAACACAAGTGGTTCAGTTCTTATCAGAACAAGGAAACTGAATCAGTGTGGAAATCGAAACGAAATCACGATCGATGACTCACGTTTCTCTTCAGGATGCCGCATCTGGTGAAGTCAGTCACCTTAAGGAAGTAGTTATCTTCCTGAGGATCGTTGGGATCTGGCCTGATCTGGCAGTGAATGTCGGTGAGAGGATTGGCGGATCTGTCGTCGGCAAAGAGCGGCGCACCTCTAAAGCCAACTGGCCTTTTGATCTTCGCTGTCAGCAGATCGGCCGCTGATCCTGCGCCGCTGCACTGAATGTCAGAGACCTCGTAATCCTGTGCAACAGTGGCAGCAACCTGAAACAATACCACCGCCATTCATCCACGCCTGACAGACACTTGGAGACGTCTGGTATGTAATTTCTTTTCTTCTTACAATATCTTTCTTTTCTCACAGATCTCTTTCTTATTATTCGTCATACCCTTTGATACCGAGAATTTGATACCCTTTGATGGCTCATCGACGGCGAGGTTTTCGTCATTTTAGATGACTTTAGTCACTTGGGCTGAAACAAGTGTCTATTTCTCTCTCTTATTTTTATTTGTTCTCTCAAGTACTAATTGCAATTCAGAAATTAATCTCTTATTAGGTATTAAACGAAAATGATATATTACACAAAATATACGATTCTCAAAGTATTAGGTCATTTACAAGTCATCAAATAATTTTTTTAATTATTCTAATAATTTCTAATGGAGAGGACCAATCCCTATCGTGGTCCCCACTTAGTTACGTCACTGGTTGATATAAAATTTAGTGTAATTATATATATTTTTGATTTTATTAAATAAGAAACTTATGGTTATCATATATTTAATACTCTTAAGAGTAATAAGCCCATATAAAAGGTATTATAATTTAACAAGAAAGTATGTCGCTTAGTTTATCATGTAATCGTTATGCTTAATGTAATTTAATGTACAATTGAAATTCGCGATGTTTTTTTCATGGCAATTTAAAGTCGTTCAGTTTCGCTTGCATTCATACCCTGTTCCACATAGTATCTGAACTTTACACGCCAAAAATAAGCGGTGTGTCCTGGTTTAAAGAACGGTTTCTTCAGCTCTTAACTGATAAGATGGAATCAAGGATTCATACCGTTTTTTCTTCCTTCAACACGTTATCTGATACAGTAATCGTGTTCTTGAAACAAAAACAGCAAATTAATTTACCGATTGCTCAATTATAAGTCTATGACTAGTTCATTTATTATCAATATAAGTGCAATCGATTTTATCAATGATTTTTATGACGTCAAATTGATTCTAGAATATCAAAGATGTAATATATAATAATTTATGTCTTATCACCTATCATATCAGTTAGGGATGAATCATTTTAGATCGTCTTTTACGTCATTTATCACGGTATCATTATCTTTTACGTATATTTCCACAATGTAAATTTGAAGTATTTAATTCAGATAATAATATCTTTGATTTATTACTTCGCTTTCAAAAAGTTTACAATTAGATTAAAAATTTATTATTTATGATCGTGTACTTGAAATTTAATGTTGATTTTTTCTTAATTTCAATCTTTCAAATTGGAAATTTAAATTTTCATGTCTAAAAGCAATGCTTGCAAATATTATATTTTCTCAATAATAAATTAATATTGTTATTGATTAGTCATTGCTAAGCTTCATTCCAATGAACATAGACCTATATTATATTATTAACATAATATTTCTATTCTTTTTATTCCTACTTACTTAATTAAATTAAATTCATTAATAATTCTTACACTAATTAACACATAATACCATAGACTTTCTATATCACGTTACATATTAACAAAATCTGAATTTTATTAAAAATTTTCCAATTCAAATCACTTGAATTCATGGTATCAGTCACTGACAACTTTTACACCAATAAAACCTTCTTTAACTCGTGCATCCCTTAATAAACACGGTGGATCACCGATGGTCCAGATGGCACGTCACGTACCAACAAAACGGTACACAATGCGGAAATTTCATAGCTGACCGAGCGTCTCGGTGCAATCGGGGTACATTAACGATTTAACGTGTTTCGCTAACGAACTTCGAAACTATTTCGTCGCGAAGTAACATTTGTTCAACCGTGTCACAGTCTTGGACACGGCCTCTTCTTCTTCAACTGTCTAGTTAGCGCGTTAATTGACCCGGTGTCATTCGAACCATGGTGGATTTTCATAATTAACGCGAGTCATCTTGATCCTCCTCCACGATACATATATATACGCTCGTTGCTTATGAGAACTTCTGTTGGGTGGAAAAGTTCGATATAAAAGAAGGTGGCGAACACGGGAGGAGAAGAAACTTCGATACCAAGTAACGGTGTAAAGAAACGCTCTGGTGGTTGGTTAAGTTATTCGTTACATGCGTATATACCATACTGGTTGCCCATCGCACGGTCAGCCAGACGGATAATCGTGGTACAGGTCATGGTTATTTCTTCGAGGTAGGTCATTCGAGTTTTTCGAGGTCGGTCTTTGAATGATAACGATGAGATACGGCAAATCTGAATATTAACGCGCTCACTGTCCCGGTGATAATGAACATTTCTTGCCAGGCATGTTCTAATTAAGAACGCTATAATAATTATGTAATAATTCAAGAGGGAAGTTTATGTAAGCACTGTATGGAAGTAGAATAATGACTGCATTAATATTTTTGAAAATTCTAAAAAGAAAATTAAGAAATTAGAAATAGGAATTTTGAATTAGGAAATTGGAAAATGAAATATTAGAATTGAGAATTTTTCCCATTAGGATAATTAAAATAATTAAAGTTTAACAAGATCTCACAGAGCAATAAAAATGAGAAGCAAGAAATTTACAATTCGATTAAAGATCAAAATGCTGTTACTGTAACAGTCCTTTAAGCGAGCAAAGATAAAACCAGTCAGATATAAAGCTCTTCTTCCTCGCGCGAAGATGGATATAATTTCGAAGAAATTGGAACGTTCGACGATGATTTCCAAATCGTTAAGCGATAAGTACTCGCGTTAAGAAGTAACGGGTCCTCTTTCGAAGGGAGAAAATAAGTGTTTGCTGTTGAAGAGAAATTCAAGTAAATGGAACTTTGATCAAGTCTTGTTTCAAATTGAGCGGCAAACTATCGGCCGTCTCAATTCTCTGGGACTTTCGACGAAACGTTAATGTCTTTTTTTTTTTTTTTTGTCTATTCGACGACCAGCTTGTGTCAGGAAATTCAATTTAGTTTGTGAATAGTAATAGAAACAATTACGAGGGTAATAGCAACGGGAAATTCACTGACGATAACAGGAACTGTGTTTGTGTTTGTTTCGTACAAATTGCTTGTTATCGAAGCAGACCTCTTTAACTTCAACTCTTTCGAGAATCGTATTACGAAGTTAATATGTGGGTAGTTAACCGAGTAACGGTATCTCGAGTATTTTATTTCATTTTTTTTATTATTTTTTTACGATCGTTTTTATTTTATAATTAAGAAGTTCGTTGGGCTGGGTTGCATATTTCAGGACACTGATAGTCTGACACAAATTCATGACATAAAAGTATCGTGAAATAACACTTCTGTTATGTGAATTTAAAGTATAAAGTTTAATAAAAATAACTATATAAACATTTCATTGATATTCCTAATAGAAAATGCCCGATTGCCAGTTACAGTGAACAATAACTGATTTTACAACATACAAAGCCTGACACAATTTGATGACATAAAAGTATCACAAAATGACACTTATGATACATCAATTAGTAGTTATTGATACAAGAAAGTATTGACTGAAAATTAATTACCAAACTGCTCTCTTCATTAACAAGTATAATGTATGGAACAGATAGAACAGATACCAATGTTTTAATTTATATTATTCAAAATAGTCAAGATGAAATGCAAAATTTAAAGAGGAGTCCCAACAAATTTGAAATATAATTAACCGAAACAAATGAAGCAACAAGTAGTGACAGGTTAATTTACGTTATCAGGTGTATTAAGATTTTACAATTTGAATAACGAGTTAAACACTCTTTATATCACGTATAATAGTAAATGAAAATTAACTGTCATGGGGGGTCGTCAGTGACAGGTGTTACAAAATTAATTTCAGTCAAGTAATTAGCAAACCAAAAAAATGTTACTAAACACTGGTAATTGAAAATAGGAAGAAAGTTAATTCTGCAGGGCTTTAATAATTCCTATTATTCGTATTAAAAATTTCTAGTTACAATTATAATAAATTTTACAATAAAATTTTGGAAATTTTATAAATCCCTAATATTTATCCCTTATCATTATACTATCTTGTTATTTGTCAACGAAGTCTCGTTCCTTTCTCTCTACTTGAAAATTTGTAAATATGTAAATGAAGAATTAATACCTTTGTTACACATAATTATAAATGAAAGAAATTAAAGGACAGGTAGGGACGCACGTGTGAAAGAGTTTACGCAAAGTGTTACGTGTGCATGCGGTGCGCTCCGATTTGATTGATGCGCGGAAAGTTAACGGGAAGAGACAAACAGCCGAATCTGTTACGTGAAACGGGCCTCCCAAGCTTGCTTCTTCTCAGAGATTGCCTCCTAGATAACTATACGTACACATTTTTTTTTTTTCTTTCGTTCTGTACGAAAGAACCGCAACCGCATGTTTACGGCGCCGTAAATTTCGTCTCCCAGTGCCATTTCGACTGGACGACATCGGAAACGCGTGAGCCTGTACATTTAATAGCTTCGTGATCGTTATTTCGGTCAAGGAACTTTGAGATTGATCATTTATGAACAACAGGTGCTTTTTGGTACATTAGAATTGATTTTGGGGTAATAAATCTGAAAATGGTACTTTTATATTAGCAGAATTATTTATTCTTTATAAGGTACATAAAATTAATAAAATTTGCAATCATCAAAGTGTTAGAAAAATAATAAAATAATTCATTTGTTTCCTTTATTAATCATTAGAATCTATTTATATACGTATTTTCATGTCTGATTTAAATTTTTCTCATGTAATTATTTATTATTATTTACTTCGTTACAAAAGGCTAGAAGGAAATTGAAAAACAAAATGTCTGGTTAGAAAGGATTGACTTAATTCAACGAATGTTGTTTTTAATTTTTAATTCACATTCCAGAATGTAATTTCATCTTTTGATTAAATTATCCGCGGTCTCTAGAGGCATAGTTTAAAAGAGAAGTCGGAATTGAAAAAGTTAGATAGAATACCGTTTTCATGGGGCGTATTAAAGGGATTTAAGTTAACATTTCGATATGAAATGCATTCTGCAGATTATACCCAGTTCCTTCCTATGGAAACCTCGTAAAAATTTTACGTTGTCATTTGAATTGCGAAAAAATAACAATCAACTTTCTAGAAATTTATTAAGATATAATAAACAAATAAATAATTCAGAAATGCAAAATTGCATTATTTCAAGGATATAAAAATCAGCAACATATCATTTTATGTTTATCAAAATTTCAACCATTTATTGACAATTTTTGTCTTCTCCTCTACGGACAATTTTTAATCAAAGAAATCATTAAAGCGCCGTCAAAGGGTAAAACGTTCAAGCACGAAGGAAGGAAACGTTAGAAGTCGATCACTCACCGTGCAAAATCCAGCGATCAGGACGGTCCACATCTTTCTTATCGTTGCACTTAATTGCAAGGGGGATAACACGCGAGAACACAGTTGCAAGGCTGCAAGGGATCACACGAAGAGGGATGCAATTTTCACGAAGATTTCCGGTGAACTGAGGCGCGTGTACCACGCAAGAATTCTCCCTCCGTGGTTGATGTTCCTCCAACGGGTACACGTCTCCTGGAGGGGAGAAACGGAAATCAGGGAACCAGAGAACCACCGGCCCATCCAGAGTACTGTTAATGCATGCTTGCTGCCTCCGCTAACAACCATCCTTACCGCGTCCTCTTCGCGACCAGTGACGGCCTCGAACGGACACTGTTCTATTATTTTCCATTTTTCAAGATAAGTTGAACACCTACTTTTTCTTTTCACCAGAAATAGGTATTAATATTTTATTTCTGAGAAATTAACATTGATGAAAGTCCAATTTTCAAGAGATTAATTAATTGTTAGCCAAAAGTTAATTGTATAAGTTTTAAACGTAAGCGTTTCATATGTTAGAAAAATCATTTTTAAAGATTAGAAAATTAAAGTAATATGAAATATAAAATTACATTAAAATTTGGACTCTCTTCATGGTTCGCTGTCCGAGGGTTAAGTACTGTTAAAGGGTTGGATTTGACCATTGGTGTAATAAGGTAAGAGCAAGGATAGGCTTTCCTTATTAAAAATTATTTTATTACAATAAAAATATTTGATTATTTAAAAATTTTTTTATCGCTACTATTTATGGTAAGACTGTGATTGATTGAATTTTATTGAATTACAGTTAGTATCTTCTAAATAGAAAATTGTATTGAGAACAATTAGAAAGATAATATTATAGGCGGAAGTTTTATAGAAAATTATATGAATCGAGTTTGAAGGCAACGATCCACAACTAATAGTTGATAAAAGGAATTATAAAATATTATTAAGCTCTTGATTATCCCTTTTCTAGAGTCTTTATTATCTAATATAAGAATTAAATTAATTTCAAATATTCTATGAATTGCATATATTTCAAAATTAATTCTCCTATTATATTTTTGATCTTAAAACAATTTTTCTAACATATTTTATTTCTTTTTCAGGTGATCAAGGAGTGTTGATCATCCTGGCCGAGGAAAGCAGACTGAGTTATGGATGTAACAATGGTGAGTCTTTATTTATGTATTTTTCTTTACTTCATCATGTCGGAAGAGGATTCTTTCGTTAACGAGTACGTTCATTAAGCGTGAAGCATTTTTACCAAGAATCAAAATTTCATTTCGGTTTCTTTTGCTCGCCGATGAAGTCTCGTCTAGGAAGCCTCAGTGAACTGGCGGAATCGCGAAACATTACGTGATTCTGACATGCATAAAAGGCGAATTGCTTAGCCGGTTGCTGACTTTTCCGGTGCGTTGATTTTAGGTCAATGCCAGTATTCGATCAAACACATTCAAACCTATGTATTTAAACAATGAACAAATCTTTTTTTAACCCTTATGCACTACGTAATAATAATTATTTTTATGTTTAACAATTTTCATTTTGATGAACCTCTTAAATTTGTAATCATTCTATTAACCCTTTCGTTGTGACAGAAATTACTTCTGTACGTTTACTTAAAAAAATTATCTAATGAAATAATTTTATTATTATTATATTAGGAACTTAGAAAATTTAAAAGGGTAATTCTGACTTATATCGTATGTCTTACTAAGTCTAGTTATTTTTATTAAATGGTGAACTTTTCACGCGTTCGCCATCGTATCCCTTTTAAACGTGCCAAAATTTTCGTCCATTTTCTTTCTTGCGACCTCTACTTGAGATCGATTCTCTTCTTTGATCCCGCCAGATATCGAAGCAAATTTTCAGTCTGCTTTGCAGTTTATTTTTCGCGAGGCTTGCTTTCATCAGTCGTGTCCAGATGCCTGTGTAAAAAGTGAGAATGACAATCGTGCGTTGCTCGTCATCATTTTCACGCTGTGTTACTGTACATGTCACTGACTGAACGACTAATAAGCGCGATGTCACGTGTCTGAGATTTCTGGGAAAATTGCTTCTCCGTTAGTTTTCGTCGCATAATTGTTCGATTGTGTAGGTGAACAAATACACGAGCAAATAAAGAAAGCAAAAAGATGAAACGAAAAGGAAAGAAAACTACAGTGTTAGGTATAGAGGTAGATGTTACCTCTACGATTTTCTTCAATTTTTCAACCCTCCATGCAACCCTGTTACTTTACATTGGCATATCAAATTTCTCTTTTAAATTTATCGGTAATAATCTTTTATTAGAGTATTAATAAAATTCGAATCGTTTTATTCGCGTTACGATGCGCACCTTGTTCCCTTAATCGGGTAATCGAGTTCAATTATGGGCTACACGCGATCTTTGTAATTATGTATGTTACATGAGCTTGCTTATCAGAGCTTTTTAGCAATAATCGTTCACCGTTATCGTTCGTTACGCTTCAAAACGGAAAATATATCCGTTACAACGTTGTACATTACGAAAGTGTCGACGATGAAAACTGAAACTGTACTTCCAAACGCTGCTTTTTCCTCTTTTATCTTTATATTCTATGTTCGAAAACCGCGTTAGACAAATTCCAGAGAAGAGAGACGGTTAAACCGTTTGATAACATGTTCTATCGTTTAACGTAACGTTAATAGGAGGTATAATTTTTAAAGAATCAATTTAGATTAGAATCTATGTGATTTTTTATTATTATATATGCAATTACAGTGAAAACTGTGTAATCTTATCTATTTATCTATCCGTGAATGTTGAACTTGAAACGGTTGAACGACAGGTATTCGGAAGTCGGAAATTCCGTCGACGCAGAAATCCGAGACCTCGTGAAAAATGGAGGATCACGATGTAATAAAATTGTTATAAAAAGACGTTAGGTATTGTGAACACTTCCTGGGAACTCGTTGAATAATAACGCGACGATGCTCATTTAAATAGTATCGTTGTTGTGTGTCAAACAGCTGATACTGAAACGTCACATAAAAGTATAATAAAATAACACTTATAGTATATCAATTGAAAGCTTAAAAATTAACAAAAATGACTATGGTAAATGTTTCAACCTGATCCTTAAAGAAAATTACAAATGAACCAATTTTTAGCTCATTGCGAATATCCAATGTTCAATAAATAATCAGTCAATTTGTATAAAAATTTTATGTAGTAAATTTTATTAATCTTTAAGCTTTAAATTGATATACTATATGTCTTATTTGGTAATACTTTTATGTCATGAAATCGTCTTAGACTTCCTACTGTGCTCCCAAATCGACTTTTTGATACTCAACAAATTAATACGTTTCGTATTTTCAATTATAAACTGATATATTTATTCTAATTAAGCATATATTTCAAAATTTATACGGAATCACGATGATTGATTAAAAACACCATTGGCGTTCCACGTGCAACTAACGGACACTGATATTTATTATATCGGGTAGTCGAATTTATTTCTGTTATTAGAATCCCGACTGTGGCCAACAACAAAAGACATAATCTCTACTAGCAACGGATTATTAATTATCGCTATACTTTCTTGCGGCCATGGGCACTCGATTAACGAGCCTCTCAGTAACAGCAATTTCCTTTTCGCTGCCTCTTACAGTAATCGTGATGCACTGCCAGTATTTTGTGTTCCATGGTTCGTTGTACGTGGAAAAAATAAAAATTAATAAAAACAGTTCTACTGTCTGATAACTCAGAATCTACACAATGATGTTGCTATAATGACAGCATTTCTTTTCTTTTTTTCTTCAATGCAACTTCTAATTTCCTTGCAAATAACATAGTGATAGAATCATCTTTTCATAGCCTATGAAAAATTAATGTTAATCATAGAAGTGGACTAATTAGAAATTATTTCTTCCATTCAGAAAATTTCTAAAAAATTATATATATGTCTCATCAATAATTATAGTAGTATTCTTAGCAATAATTATCCCAGGTGAATAGAATATAACAAATAGTTTCCTATCTCTCAGTTGAGTCTATTATCAATCAGCAGATAGAAAGAGGACGATAGGAAATAAATCCTCGCAGTTTACGCTCTGTTAGATAGTCAGAAATTTCCGTTGAACGCGACAAGCCGCTTAAGGGCAAGTTTTCGTGGAATACTTAAACCTTGGCTAGTTTTAAAGAGAGCTACGTCGATACTCTTCTTCTTAGCAAGTAAATACTCTTCTTTAAAGTTCTACCCGGTGCACCAGCCTGTTTACGCTCCGAGGCGTCCGGCATGCTTTATGGAAGTCCATAAGCGGATACAACGGTCCACTGCATAGGCATTCATATATTTAATTCATTTCTCGCTTTATCTCAATGGTTGCACAGATTTCAGATACGCCTTATAACAGACAGAGAGAAGTCACGCTGCAGTTTTCTGTTGTTTTTCCCTTCAAACGTGCCGTTATCATCTTTTATGTAAAATCCTATTCCATGGATAATGGAACGTTTTAATCGCTTGCAAATTAAGTCTCGTGATCATACATATTATTCATAACAGTACGTACAGCAGGATTGTGTTGAGAGATCGAGGCGAGAAATTAAATCAATTTCAATTCTTTATTTTCGAATTGTTCAATACAATGAAATTTAACATTTAAATGCAACAAGTGCATTATTCGTTTTAACAAACCTTGCGGTACAAAAATATATAAGTATATATTTGTATATAACTCATTTATTAATATCACTATGTATTTTGTACGCAAGCTCATTAGTAGCAAATTAAAAAAAAAAAAAAAGAAAAGAAAACAAAAATACACTTAATCTCAAAAATAATGAAAAAAAAGAAAACTTATTTGGTGTCTGAATATATTTCTATGTCGACCAGTCTCTAAATAATCACTTGTTACAACGTTAATCTGATTAAATAAAAATCAACTATCATAAAATTAATCGTTAAACCAAAACGAATCATTAAATATTTCTTTATCGTTAACTAGAAAAAAAAAAGAATGATAATTAATGTGTTATTTGTACGTATGTTTGTTAAACTAAGCCTAGCGTTTGGTATCCTACAAGGATACGATATCTAATTTTTTGTTATAACGAAAATAAAAACTTAAATACAATACTGCAACAAATAACACTCATATTTTTATCACACTTGAATAACATTATGATAAGAATGAACGGAATGATCGTAAATTCGGTTACCGATAACAATATTGACCTTATAATTAGTTAAAAGGCACTGAAGGAGAAAACTAAATTGTTCAGTTCTTATTCTTGGGTTAAAATTGAACTGTTCTCAGGAGGTTCGGTTTTTGCTTTAATCGGTGAACTGGTTTCTGAACTTTCAGCACCAGAATCACATTTATTATTATTTTCTTTATCGGCGATAATTTTCGAATTCTCCGTTTTTATTTCGTTCTTGTCTCCCGTTATTCTTAACTTCGACTTCTTATCAGGATCAAAATGGCCTTCGAGAATAATCAGTAGATCTTCTATTTGCTTCTCATCAACTGTTGTTAGATTCATCTTAATTAATTTCTCCAAACCTTCCTTCTTCTCGTTATTCCACGCTTCCTGTATCATAAGGAATTTAAATCAATCATTAATCATTCACAGATTCACTGCTGTAAATATGTGAATTTTGACTTTGTTTTCTAATATACGAACTTGTAACAGAGTATATTCTATTCCTGCTTCGGCGAGTAATCGCCGTAAAGGACTAGCATGTTGTCGTTCCCGGCGATTTTCACGGTAGACTCCGAAAATAGGTCTTAAACTATTTTGACGTTCAAACACTATTTTCAGCTCTGAAACAAGGACAACGCGTGTTACACACTTGAACAATACCATTTTTCTATAATCTATTTCATATACCTGCATACTCTTGTTCTTCCATTTCTACTGGTTGAACAAATTCCCTAATAAATTCTATAGTTTTCTTCATGGCACTATCTCCATCTCCACTACCATTCGTTTCGTTCTCTTTTGTACCTTCAAGTGAACTTAAGTGTTGTACTATTTGTAAAGCCAGGTATGCTCTGTTTTTTGCATTATCTAATTGTTTTTCCTGAAAAAAGTATAAAGGTCGACGTTAGAATGACTATGTATTTTTGGAATACTAAATATAAAATTATGCAATAAATTGCCTTACTTGATTAAGTAAAGTTTTAGACAATGTTCTAAGTGAAAATGAATGAACTGTATTGTTTGTACACTTCATTTCAGCAACATTGAATCCATTCGCAAAACCCTTCACAATTTGTTTGAATCCATCCAATAAATTATATTTCTTCAAGGATTCAATTAACATAGCAGGGATAACTTTTCGTGGTTCATGGTAAACCAATATTATTCCATCTGTTGCATCTCCTTTAATAGATTCTAGCCATGTTAAAAAGTCTGTGAGCGCAAACACTTCACTCTTAGTTTTTATTACCTAGAAACATTAATGAAATTTAATGAAATACAGAAAACAGAAGCACATAACAAAACTTTATCAATACCTTATTAGTTTTATTATCTTTGAGTGCTCTGTATTTGCCAATAGTCACAACTTTCATGTTATGCCTCTTCATGGCTGGAGGATTGAGATTTTTATATGGCATTACGTATTGAGAATACGAGGAATTAGGTGTATAGCCAGCTATCTGGCATATTTCATCTATAACTCTTTTTCCCGTGGTATCCATATCCCAGCCAACTAGCTGATAATTGCCTGGACCAATACCCGCTGCACAGGATTTTCTTGGTGGGTTGGGTTTTCCATTTTCCACTACTGTTGATGATACCATTTTTTAATACTGATCTGTAAACAGTGTATAAAAATTTTCATTAATATCATAATTAAAAAGTATATTATTGTTTTATTATCAACAGAGAGAAAAGCAATGGTAAAGATGCTTTCAGGTATTCATCAAGTACAGATATTGATAGAAATATATTTTTATAAAAATTAAAATTGGAATAAATATTTAGTACAGAACGTATACGAAACATTTTACGTATAAATTCTTTTGTAAATTACGTTTCAAACTTGAACGTTACTCTAACGAATGTTTGGGTTTAGCAGAGAGTTTTTGTACAAGGGCGAGATATTTTGGTACGTTCGTAGAGTAAGATTATCCGTGTATCGGTAAGATCGACCTTGAAATTCAATACAGTACACAAATACTTGGGAACAAAAGATTAATAGCTGAAGATACGTCTAATAATAACCGTCTTACCTTCTACGATTATATTAGAAATTATTCACCGTACAACAATGTATCTACCATCACACGGTAACTGCCGTTCCTACGTTTGTATCTGTGTCCAAAAAAAGGCAAGGAAAACGTGTGAAACGTAGGTGAATATTAATCAGAGATAACACACAGAAACACTTTATATAAAATTATTAATATTAATAGACGGCGAGGAAAATTTTTTATGGAGACACTGGTTACGCCACTAACGATAGTGCAAACAAAAAAAGAAATGACAGTCTAACAGCTGGTTATCTCGTTTCACGTCAGGTGCAAGGCAACCAATAAGAATATTCAATGTTGCGTGAATTTTTGCGATTACGTGACGTGTACGCGACACGCGTTACAAATCGCTGCACGGGGAATCGTGTCATGTATGCAAAACAGATATTCTCATCACACGTGGGTAGGTCGCGTATTCGTGGTTACAGTCTTCGGTATTTTCGTTCCCAACTATTATGCGTTCGAACGTTAGATACGTTCGCCATCACTCACCGTGATTCACGGTAAATTCCCACTTCTATTTTTCGTTACTTTTCTTGCTGCGACAGACGTAACGGACGACGACGGCACTGTAAATCCTTCGTAGATACTGGAAACTACTGGAACGCAACTAGATTCATTTGAACGCACGTGCGAGCTTGGCAGTAAACCGCCCGCTCGCTCGACCGCGCATGCGCGTTAGATCTTACCATCACGTGGTTCTAATGTCACTGTTGGGTGAAGGAGAGACCGTGACAATTGCGACTCTTAGTAGACCGTCTAATGCAGTACGCGATTGAATCGTGTGAGTAGTTTATTCGTTTCTCGCGTTTCTAGATAATATCGAAGCTGCTCTTTGATCGAAAGTTCATCGATCATGGATCCTTGGCGAATGTTAAACAAGACGAACAGGGGAATGATTCATTTGAATCGTTCCACGCGTATGTTGAGCCGTAAGTTGAGATTCGAAGAGCGATGATCGATACAGTATATCGAGCTCCTTTAAAGGAGATCGGACGCGACTGAAATACCGTACGAATTAATTTCTCGTTATTTCAATCGTAACAGTAACGATACTGTTCAAATAATAAAATGTTTTAAAGTGCTAATTTAAAGCTATTAATTTCTAAAAAAAATTTGATTAAGTAAAGATCGTCTATCGTTTGATATACATATAGTGTTAATAGAAAAAATAAAACAGTTTCCGGGCGGGTTCGTTGAAAAACGATTCTCTCGGAAAAATTCATTAGCAAAACCGGACGATCGTGCTTCTTATTCACTGATCGGTTGTTGCGACGCGTTTGCATAAAGTTCCGTTCTCAGTGTGCGAAATTGTTGACGGTAGCGATAAATTGGCTCGCAGCTTATCTCTTGTTATCTGTTATTTATCCTTTTTCAGAGCGCGTCGCACGCTTTGTAGCGCTGATAAATTGTTTCAACTGGGTCATACGTTCGCCATGGTGTACCTCCTTTTTCCCCCTTTTCTCTCGCTCTTTTTTTTTCTTCTTTCATTTTATCCACGGCATTTGTGCCGCGCTAGTTGTCTGGAATTTATCAAATTCTCGGCGATGTTTAACCCGAAGAAAACCGAAAGGCGAGAACCCTCTGTCCGAGCCAACTATGCTTCTAATGAATTTTTTGTACGATTAAATTCCCATTATGATGTACGTTTACCGGGTACGCGGAGGGGTTATGTATACCGCTAAGATTAATATCCTGCAGCAGTAATTACGCGAATGTTGCACGCGTACAATAAATTCGAGGCGATCGTTATTTTGATTTAATGGCAGTCGGGGTTCTTACATGTAGTAAATTGACTGGGTGTTTAAGGTTATAACAAGGATACTTCCGTTCAATATTTTTACTATCATATAGGTCAGTGATGGTCCACAGTATATATCAAGGGGTATATTTTAATACATTAAGTTTTACATGTTTGTTTTTATATGTACTTTGGGTGCCTGAATTTTTAAGACGGTAGATCTATGCTATCAGGATTTACGTTTCTTCACCGAGCGTAGATCTACGCCCCTCGGTCACAATGTGTTAATTAAACCTTGAACGATAGACCATTGAAACGGTCATAATTGATATTTCATTTTAAAGTCTGTTTTTAAAGTTCTTTAAATGTTATTATAAAACGAATACATTCCATTTTGTAGGTTCGGGTCATGGTTGACCCAGTACGGTTATTTCTTTATAAAACAATCTGTTCGCGAATATCCAATTTTCAGTTGCCTATATTTGGAAATGATAAAGTAATTTTCGATTACAGTTTTTGGGTCATAAAATCGCTTTTTTCTTGAAATACAATAAGTATAGAAAATTAGTTGTTCAAACGAAGAACGAATCATTTTCTATTAAAAATACTGATGAAGCATTTACGTAACTGTTTTCATAAAACCTTCAACTTCAAATTAATGTACCATTAAGTGCTATTTTATAATACTTTTATGTCATGAAATTCTATCAGATTTTATAAGTTCCAAAATTGATCATTATTTCATATAACTAGCAGCCGGATAATTTATATTAAGAAACATCAGGGAAACGTTGTGTAGATATTTTATTGAAATTTTAAGCTATAGTTCGATGTAAAATAAATATTATTTTGCGATATTTTTATGTCGTCAAATATTAGCTGTATATTTGATTGCTTGTAGGAAGGTATATAATGGTTAAAAATTGTTGTAACAGAGCATCTCTTGCATTGTTGACATGTTAAAAAATAGCTGAATTTTGAAAGCATTTTTGTGTAAGATTTAACACAAAAATATTGGTTTTCATAGCTTCTAATTAGATGTACAAACTGACTTTTTATTGCTGCTTTTTTCTTGGTAATTATAAAATGTTACTGACTTAATAAGAGTGATGATGCAAATAAAATGTGGAATCAGCTATGAAAATAGATTCCACGTATCAATGTTTAGCATTGAACTTCTATCTACATAATTGTTTATAAATTTGAAATCAACAGAATGAATAAAACATTAATTTTTCGAAAATTGTTTGTAAATTTTTAGATGTTTAAAAAATCCAAATAGGTCCAGTATTATAAAAATTATAACTTTTCTATAAACCATGAACGATAAATATAGAATGTAACATTGATTGAATGTTAAAATTTAGAAACAAAAAACAATCGTGAAATGCACTGATTTTGTCATAAGATAAAAGCAATCGATTACAATTTTAACCTCGTTGAAAGCTTTCTCTTAGTGTCGGATTTCGTTTTTTACGACAGCTGACAAAGCAAAAATCCCATACAAATAGTGAAAAAACATTAAAACGCGCTCGAAATATTTCACGTTCGGTTAATATCCGAGCTTCGTTTCGCTATTTCGGTCATCTCTGTTTTTTGATAGTAGATATTGACACAACGAAATTCGACTGGAACACGTGCGAAGAACTGGTGTCGAGGACAAAAATGACTGAATTTGTGTCCTGATGACATCATTGATTTCATTGTGTTAGCATAACAAATTTAGATCTTATCGAATAGCCGAATAGCAGAAAAATAACTTTTTATCTACTGTAAACTTCAAATAACTGACTTGACATTTCTATGATTGTAATTTTAAATAATTATTTATTGTATTTGAATTTCAGAGTTATTTATAATTATTAAATTCTCACAAAATTAAAAAAGAAGGTTGGTTGAAATTTTTATCAAAATATTCATCTTTGCCTTATACAATTAAAAAAATATTATTTTATCTTATTAATGATATTGTTATTTTAAAAACTATGATATTAATCCTGGAAACAAGAAATTATTTGAAGTAAAATATTTTATATTCTCAAATAAAACAACATTCGATTCAAGTGAATTATTTGATCGGGAAAATAGCATTTTATTTCAGATAGTCATTTATTCCATACCACGTTTTTTATTCGTTATTCAAATAAATATTGACCAACTCTGCGCCGTATATGTATTTTGTATCTAACAGTAAGTAACACGACTGGAATTCGAATAAAAAAGTAAGTTGAAACAATAAAAAAACGAAACGAAATATTGAAATACCTTCTTACGTTTACTGTATTCGACCTATAACATCACATTAATTTATCGTTTTCGTAACTATGTATAGTAACGCCTTTTTTATTTGCAACGATGGATAAATTTTGATGAAATTGAAAAGTGCTCAGAGGAAATGATAATTTTTGTTTATTAAAATAAAACATACGAATAGTAATAAAAATATATTAAAAAAGCAATCAGTAATATAAATAAAATAAATTCATTTAGTTTATGGCAAACATCAACTTTCATTTATAAAAGTAAATAGCATATTGTGGTTTGATTACATATTACATATCAGTTTCTCATGGCTAAAATTAAAAATGATTAAAAAGCAAAGAATAATCTTAAAATATTATCGAGATCCATCTGAAAAGTAAACCTCTAATTAAAAAAGCACGATCAACTCCTCCAAAGAAAGACTATCAATAATACGTCTTATTCCAATAACCACGAAGAATTCTCTAAAGCGTAGAATGCGAGAAAAATAATAAAGAAAAGAAATACTTACAATACAAAAACGATGTGGTCGTCGAGATTATTTCACTATTAAGTCGTTCGATCACTTTTCCTCACAATGGATCATCGATTATTGATGGTGAATGGATCTCAGAAACGTTTATACGATTTATTTTCCGTGATTATGATTCTTTTCGATCGCCGTGGCACGTTCGTAGACACCGTGAAACGTAGACAAAAGACCGTTGACTTGACGCGACGATTCGACAGTCTATTGTCTTCCCTTCGTTTCCGGCTCCCTTTACATTATCTTCATCTCCTTTCAACGTGTATCATTCGTCACTCTTTTGTTTCCCTTCTTCGTTTCTCTTGTAGACGGTGGCCCCCTTTGCCGGTTACGATCGGTTTTGCACACTTCTGTTCGACTCGAACGCCACGATTTTTCCTTGATAACGACGCATCACCAGAGATAACCGTGAGATTTGCACGTATGTATCAGCAACGTGTCTGATACACCGGTGATCTGCGGTTAACAGGTGATAAGGCGTGACGTCTCGCGATACGTCGTCTACTTGAGGTGATTTTAATCATGGTGGAATCATTGGCGTAATTCGGATTTTTTGGCGATGGCGAATGTTTAATTTTGATTTTAGATTTTTGAAATTTTAGAATTTTAGAATTCTAGAATTTTGGAATTTCAGAACCTTATGATCTTAGAATCTTATAGTTTTAAAATTGCGGCCAGATGTTTGGAGGTCTGAGAGTGATTTAATCCATCAATGCCAATGATTTAATCCATCAAAGGGTTAATCAACCTCGATCAGATATTGCAATTATTTTAACCATCAATTTTACTTCATAGAATATTTACTTACGTACTATATAATTCCGTTTTATTAAGTTAATGCAGATATTGATCTTATCGACTCTGATTATTGCGATTTTATCGACTCTGTTAGTTACATCATTTGTTCCTTTTTCAAGATTTCTTATCAGATTATTTAATTTTCATTACCAACGCTGTTATTTTAGAAGAAAATTTAATTCATATTTGCAATAATATAATGAATTTGTTTTCTATGTTTTTGGAGAGGTACTTCTAAAAAAAATATTTTTTCTAAAAGTATTAACTATCACGTTGGTAGATCGAATGAATAGAAAAATAAAATGGTATTGCATTTTTTTGTTTCTTTATTCATCTCTGACTTTACCCGTAAAATGATCTAGCTGTGAAGTTTGATCTATGCGCACAATCTAAAAAAAAAGATTGTTCATATTTTGTTAGTTTCGTTGTTTGTAATAAATATTAGAGAGTGTGGATGTTCATGCAAATATGTGGTTTGATAAAATATCAATAGTTTTTTGTAAATCAGAACTTTGATAAATCAAATGCGTATTACTTGAATATAAACATTGCACCATGTTGCACATTATTGAACACGATAATCAAATTTTTAAACCATATAGATAGTGATAAGCGTACAATTTTCAGAATCGAAAATGAAGTGATACGATCCTATCATTTATAATCTGTATTATTTTGTATCATTTCTTTTCGGAGATATACCATTGCAATACGTTTATTGTTAATAATACCATTTAACAAATAATTATCTGTTTCAAACTTATATCAAACGTATCGTATTTTTTACATTCCTTTTAATTAACAGAATATATACTATCTAAGTAAATAGTTATCGAGGGGACTGTTGCGAATTTTACACGCATTTATTGTGTACGTTTGATAAGAGCACTTAATTGATAAGAATATGGTGCTTATGATACGTGAATCGTTTGTTGTGAAAATAAATGTTTCATGTGAAGAATGAAAAAAATAATTACGAATTGCATCTGAAAATTATTCAGTGCTACAATTTTAATATTATAGGGAAACTCACTTGGTTATAATGAATTTTTATTTTAAATCAGAGAATTTATTAAGGTGCCTTTATGGAAGTGTATATTGTTCCTTGTTAAGATAAAAATTAATTGTAGATGTTAATTGATTTTTCATTCTTTATTTATTTTTCAATTTTAATATAGGCATACATTTATCGTCGTTTGTTCTAGTATTAATGAACGCGTTGCACGTCAACAGAATGAATTATCTCACACTGTACGTATTTCCGGTGAGTAAATGTTGATTTTTAAAATGCACCGTTTATCGAACGAATATTCATCTCGTAAACGCACTCGGAGGTCGAATTCTTTATCGCAGTTTTGTACGATTTAAATGATATACTAGAAACGTAATCGATGCTGTTATTGTTCATAATTTATAAAAGTTGAAATTAGGATTAATTAAAAATTTAATTATCAATATCGTCATTGTTATCGGAAACAACGCCTGAAATGTTAGAAGCAATTTATTTAAAGTTTGCAAGTGAATTATTAGAGGTATTTTAAAATTGAAATGAATAAAACAATACCAGTCGTTTATAATGTTCGAGGTGTAATTAAAAATATTGGAAACATGTATCGAGCTTATCTCATTGAGATTATTTCATTTATGCAATGTAACGATTATTATTTGAAATTGTGTTACAAATTTCAATTATTTTTAACTTTTAGTTTCGAACGTGTAATTTTATGTAACAGTAATTCTATTCAAAATTATTTTTCTCTTTTTGATTATTAAATTATATTACATTTGAGGCACCAGTGATCCATTAGCAATCAAGGTGGTAATTAATTTTAGAATTAATTTTTTTCTTATTCCAAAGTCAATCTCCAATTTATTCCAATTTCATATTTTATTAAATATAATAAGTACTAAATCCATAGTTGATTTCAAAGATATTCAACGATGTGTAATCAATCAAATTCAATATCTCATTATCAAGACACATGGTGTAAACGTAGTAGAGAGGTAAACAGCAGAGCAATGCGTTTCCTTTGTAAATGCATTCGAATTTTGGGAACAAATTGGTGCTTTTAGCGATGTTAAAACCGACCCATTAATTCTACACTTGATACATCTCGTGTGCTTGGTCTTGTATAGTAATGACGTGCAGATGTAAATTTATGTTCATGTACGAAGAAACGTCACACGATTTGTAATTCCAGTTGTACTATGTCTAAAACTACAAAACAAATTTGATTGGATACGTTAATTAGTCCTAGTCTACACATCAAATGAAAGAGAATTCTGAAACAAAGGATAATGCAATCTTTTAAAAAAATATGTACCATAATGTTCATAGATTGGAAAAATAGTAATTTCAATTAAATTATTAATTTCAAATTAAATGATCAAAAACTCATCTTGGTATCTTAAGGATTAAAATTTATTTTTAAAATTCAAATGAATGTTCCATAAGTGATATTTTGTATTATTAAATTATATCAAATTTTCTGTATTTCCTATAATAGAATATTCCACAATTAAAAATAATCATCGATCTACCACTAACTCCTAAATCAACAAAACTTTAATATAATCTTTAATCATCTGAAAAAGAAGTTCAGCCTCCTCTGATTGTCAGTAACAAAGACTGTAGTTTAAAGAATTTTCTACAATTCTTTTAATTAAAAGTAGACGTCGAACAGGGTTTCGAGTCGAAACAAAAACTTTAATCACTTTAGGACCGGGCCAGTATCTTGGCAAGAAAAGTTGCCTGATCTCTGATCGCAATAGCCACGGGAAAACTTCCGTTTCCGTCATTCGCACCGTTGCCCCCAGTCGTGACTGTTGATTTATCGTTCGCCTACAGGATAACCGGCCGGAAACTCACACTGTCTTTAATCGCGTAAAGACAAACGCGCTTGTATTATCGGCTCGTACAAGCGATGCACCGTGTTCCTAGTTATGGTATAATTAGCCTGTTGCGTTGTACATTTTCCAGGGTGTACAGTGCCATCTTCTATGGTTCTGTGCATCAGCGTACATCGTTACAACCGCTAATAATGTAACCGATGAAAATGTTGCGCTTGCCTTATTTTTAATATGTTGGTTCTTTTTTTCATTTTTCAATTCCCAACCATAATTTTACGTTAATTGAAATGATAGGAAAAATATAATATTGGCAATATTGGTAATATTTGTAAAAATAAAAATATCTCGCAATTACAAAAATTATTGTTGCTAGCATTTTGTTAAGGATTGGTCCACCCAATCAAAATGGTTGGGAAAAAATGATTGCACACATTTTTTCTGCCATTATGATATTTATTATACAACTCGCAATCTAGAGATCCACGGTTCAAATCCTTGATTCCCAACATTCTTTTATTTCTTTAAAATGATAATTTGTCTCTTTTTGAATAACTATTACATAAAAATTATTATAAAAAAAAAAAAAATTGTGGGAACCAAGGATTTGAACCGAGGACCTTCAGATTGCGAGTCATGGATCCACTCCGTGGTTAAACACATGACTCGCAATCTAAAGGTTCTCGGTTCAAATCCTTGGTTCCCATTTTTTTTTTTTTTCTTTTTTTTTTAATGATAATTTGTCTCTTTTTGAATAACTAATATTCTATATAATTCCAAACTAAAATTCTATATTCTATTTTGAATAACTTAAATTCTATAAAAATTGCAGTGTATGTAATTAATTATTAATAAATGCAATGATTATAGTACAGCTGTAATAGTTTATTCAAAAAGAGACAAATTATAATTAAAAAAAAAAACTTGGGAACCATTTGTACAAAATAAGAAAACGAAGTGAAGTCACTTTTTTCTGAATTTTAGTGTTTGAGCGCCCTTAGCGCGTTCCCATTCTGGAAGGGGAACACGAGACTCGTCTGGGTGGGCGAATGCGACCCTCAATAACTAAAGTTTTGACCTGGCCCTAGGTCAACTGCCAGGGTATCCAAGTGGTGACTGAGACACCACTTAAGACTTTTAGATTTACAGCGAGTGACTGCCTATTGTTACTTACTTTTTAACATCACGAGCACCATCCGAAGTCAGGACACTCAGGATGGCACAAATGACCAGGTTGAGAAAAACCAGCAGTCCCCGCCATAAATCCAAGCCCTAGTGTAAACTTCGACACATTTCAATTTTATCATATTTATTATTGCAACTTTTGTAAATTTTCTGTGAAAATTATCATTTTACTTCGAATGATCTATTCATCTGAAAAATATTTTAATCTAGATCTAAGATTGTAAAGATTGTTATTAATTACATATTCTGTTCATTGAAACACATGTTTATGGATTTCAATCCATACATTTGCAGGAATTTCTTTGGCTACTGTGTAGAAATAAAAGATACAAACAATAGAATGATGAAAAGTTCAGTGGAACAATAGACAAGCTACCCAGATAAATGTGTGTTTCGAAAGAAAATCCATAGAAATTTTTATAACCGTGTCGTGAACTATTTTCAAAGAATGATGAATGCTTGATGAATGCTATGGTTCAGTGGTGCATTATTTTTGTAAAATATCTTGGTCATAAAATTCGAATAAATAATAGTAGAATTTATTTATCACTTTATTCCTTTTGGTGTGTTTATTTATTTAATTTCCTGTTTAAAAATTTTATGTATCAAAAAATTATTCAGTTCGATTTATATAGAATATTTAATCAAAATTTAATCATTTTCACAGAACTTTTGTGGTAATGGAATAATTAAAAAAGAGGATTGTTCAAAATCAATATATAGTTCGTATTAAAAATCTATCTGAAGTAAATTAAACTAGAGAAAAAAGAATTTCCATAAAACAATTTTCAACACATTTTTATCTCTCTTTCAAAATATTTACCGAAAATACCGTATTTTCCTGTCATGACGTCTGTCTCGTTTTCGTTTTTTTCCCGAAACACGGTTTTCGATATGCAAAGATTGCATCAAATTTCGCTGAATGCGCAGAGAGTGGAATGCGTTCGCTAGCGAAAAACTGAAAATTTTAACAGATTTCGTTTTCAGAAAAATATTTAGATCCGTGAATCTAGATAACGATGAACGATAGAAACTGATAGGCAACGTTGCAATTTAAAAAGAATTCATCTCCTCTTTCTATTACAATCTTGTCCATCAGTTTTTCCATGAAATAATGGAACTTTTAGAATTTTTCAAGTTGCATGATTTTCTATGCTCATATTGAAAACGGTACAAAACTGCTCGTATATTTACATGCTGAGTATAAAACTTCGCTATTTGCAATAAAATTAATATTGTATGAAAATTGAAATATTAGAAATTATAATAATGAATAAACTAAGTTACAATTTTTTTCTGAAAATAGTATTCGAGTGCTTGCATTCCAAATTGAGACCATATTTCCAAAATAATATTGCAAGTATGATAAAATTAGAAAAATATTAGACGACGTTTACAGAATTCATAGAGTATTAGAAATTTAACTCTTTCACTATTAACCACAATCGACCATATATTTAGAAAGCATTATTTTAAAAGTATTTAGATAGGGTTAAATAATTTTGATCTGGTTCAAATGATCTCTGGTGATCGTCACAGGCTGTGCAAGCCGCACTGTCGACATGCTGTTACTTCGTTCTTGGTCAACGCGTGGATTTTATGCGATTTTACTCGCGCAATTACCACACACCAGCCCAGAAATTTGTGGTTTTTGCGGTCGATCATTAGGACTGCCGGTCACTTGTTCACGTAATTAATTCACCGTGTAATTTCCTGTTGTTCTTGCTTCGTTCCCTTCTATTCCTTTTTTCTAACGGAACTTTATGCTATTACTCATGGTGGAAAGAATTTCTGTTAAACAAAATGAAAATTCTATAAAGTACAATTCTACTTTGAATTGTTTAAATATTAACACTCTGCTACATAATTGGATAAGTAAATTTTAATTAAAATTCCGAATGCCATTTGTAAATTGGAAAATCTCCAAATAAAAATAATCCAGAATATTTAGTTGCTAGAAAAATCTAAAAGTAAGGGATTAAAGAAAATAACAAATACTACAAATTTATTAAAAATAAATTCTCTTTATTGAAGTTTGCTTAAAAATAATGAACATTTCCGAGATTCTAAAAACATTTCAAAATATTTCTTCACATCTACATCTTGACATCTACGATTTTCATTTCCCCGTTTAAAAATTTTCGATAAAGTTGAAGTGGTCAAAATTGAACGGCATTATTCTCGAGATATCCAGTTTCTTCGAGTCGCACAAATTCATAACGAGAAGAAATAGTGCTTGTGTATTCGCGTGCCTAGTTCTCCTGTACCACCACATAAATAGAACTTTATCTAAAGTATTAGGTTGTTTTTCATTTGTACCTTGTCGAAGCAAACGATCGGAGGAAACGAGAGTGACGAGCCTCATTAGCTGCTTCGAGCTTGACGTTTCCCTCTCGAATCACTCGATAACTCCTACTTTCTCGGTCGAAAAACCGATAGCTCGTTCGATTGAATGAAAATTCTGATTTCTTTAGTTCTTTCAATATCATGAAATAAGAAAGGAAAATAAAATGTTCATTTTTTGTGGACTTTATTGGATTCTTAAGAAGGTTGTAATGTTTATAAAGAGTTTTAAATAATTTCATAACATACAAATATTGCAAAATTTTACTTGTAGTATATCAGTTTAAAGCTTAAAGTTTCCTGAAAATAACTATATAAATGCTTCATTGGTTTTCTTAATACAAAATGACTGATTGCTAATTATAGAAAAGGAATGACCACTTTAGGAACATATAAAGTTGCTACCCTTCCCCAGGGGATGGCGGGGAGTCTTCTGCAAGATTTTCCCACGTTAAAAAAAAATCTTCAGACAGTGATTTCAGTAAAGGTACATAGCTGGCTGCGGCACCGTTGTCAACCATTCGACCTAGAGCGAGATGGAAACCCCACAGTCTCATAGCGACCACCGAGGAGTGCGGATCTATCTGTTAAATATACATACACTCTTATTTTATTTTCTGCGTTTATATAATTTGCTGTATATATCTTCTTAGTTTATTGAATAAACTCATTGAAAAGATGAACATGATGATTTTATTCCTCTTGCTTGCCTCGTCTATTATTTTATCTTTATATTTATTATTTTAGCCCTATTTGTGGGTTATGCGGAACCACCCTCCCAAGTCTTTTATTATTTTATCCCTCTTTATAGGCCTCGGCTCATCCCTCCCACTTATTTATTTATTTTTTTTGTCTTTGAGGACCTCACAGGGCTCAACCCCATATCTCATATATCCCTCCATCCCTTACATATCTGTTTCTCTTACATTCCTTGCATTCCTTACAGCCTTACATCCCTTATAGCCTTACATCCCTTACAGCTTTACATCCCTTACAACCTTACAACCTTACATCCTTTACAGCCTTACATCCCTTATAGCCTTACCGCCCTTACAGCCTTACCTCCCTTAGAGCCTTACATCCCTTAGAGCCTTACCTCACTTACAGCCTTACCTCCCTTACAGCCTTACATCCTTTACAGCCTTACATCCCTTACAGCCTTACATCCCTTAGATGTCTGCATCCCTTACATTCCTGAATTCTTTATCTCTGCAATTTCTGCATTTCTCAGCGCCATCTGGTTTTCGAAAAAGGAACTAAAGCTTGCCGAAATTTTGGCCCTCTAGCGGCAAAAATGTGAACTAAAATCACGATCTCGAATCAGCGCCATCTGGTTTTCGAAAAAGGAACTAAAGCTTGCCGAAATTTTGGCCCTCTAGCGGCAAAAATGTGAACTAAAATCACGATCTCGAATCAGCGCCATCTGGTTTTCGAAAAAGGAACTAAAGCTTGCCGAAATTTTGGCCCTCTAGCGGCAAAAATGTGAACTAAAATCTCGACCTCGAATCAGCGCCATCTGGTTTTCGAAAAAGGAACTAAAGCTTGTCGAAATTTTGGCCCTCTGGCGGCAAAAATGTGAACTAAAATCTCGACCTCGAATCAGCGCCATCTGGTTTTCGAAAAAGGAACTAAAGCTTGCCGAAATTTTGGCCCTCTAGCGGCAAAAATTTCAACTAAAAATAACACCTCGAAGCAGCGCCATCTGGTGCCAGAAAAAGGAACTAAATTTTGCAAAAACTTTATTATCTAGTGCAAGGATATAAAGGATGCAATGATGTAAGGAATGCAGGGGTGTAAAGGATGTAGGGATGTAAGGGAAGGATCAGTGTTTTTTTTTTTTTTTTTTTAACGTGGGGAAATCTTGCATAAGACCCCCCACCGTCCCCTGGGGGAGGGCGGCGGGGGAGTGTCAGATTCCTACTGACTAAAACCCCACGGCGACCGTTGTACAACCGTCCATGCAACTGGGGGTCCGAATTTCTGTGTTTCTGACCGTTCCTGTACCAGGTATGCCGTCCGAATGGTTTTCTACAAGAGAAAACCATTTTCTTTTTCGGACGGCATACCTGGTACAAACACGGCTAGAAACACAGAAATTCGGACCCTCAGTTGCACGGAAAGTTGTACAACTTAGTTGCATAGTCTGAACGAGGCCTAAGGGCGTCTGGAACCCCCACTCCCGACGCCCGTGGCCCTGGTGGCTTCACCGTTTTTGTCGGTGAACCCACCAAATCTAGTGTTGGAAAAAGGGTTGGATCACCCAAGAAGACTGGACATACCTTTGTCGCTGAGCTCGAGACATTGACTGACTAATAGCGAAGTATAGTTGTTGATATCGCAGTAATCTGCTGTTACCATCAACATGTGTTAGACTGGCGCAGTGCATGCATTTCACATTTTTATACTAGTACCTATAGATCAGATGGCGTCCGTTTTCAAGGCACAAAATCAAGATTCCTTGAAAACAAAAGTATGTACTTACACTCTTGTTGCATCTGTAGTCACTGAATCATGTTAGGTAGGTGACATCATTCGCAATTCATGCTGATGATATCAACTTCCTTACTCATAAATACATGTAATCGTTTCGAGGACCATTTAAAGAAACATTTGTATGAATCATGTCTACAAAGAGAAATAAATTCGAATTTTATTTCAGAATAGGTATTCTATGTAAAAAAGGGTCAAGGTACAGTGTCGACAAAAAATGAACAAGTGGTGGAAACAGTTCCATTTAGAATATTGGATATAACTTTTGAAATACCATCACTTAACTTTCTTTTTTTAAGAATTAATCATCCACGTTAATTACGTTTCGAAAATGACTCTCTATTGAACAGTATACCGTACTTATATCGTTCCATTTGTATCGGTATCAGAATACCGATATTAGGGGTTCATTTATCTTACTTAGAGGGTGGTCGATGAGCCTGAGCCATTACACTCACTAGGGACCAAAATTCTCTATTCTGATCTAGTTTCTTCTAGCATCGAGAATTGGCCACCTTTGGGGATCAATATTCATTAAGGTGTAACTGTCTTACTCTGTTTATCTCGCATTCTCTGCACATCAATTAATACTTGGAAGGTTTAATTGACCGATTGCTTGGTAAACAAGCTGTACTTGTTCATCATGGAATTTTCTCTGCGATGGTTGGATAATATACAGTAGTTAATAACCTATCATAAAATTAGGATTCTTCTTTCTTCT